AAGAGAGAGAAGGAGAGAGAGAGAGAGAGAGAGAGAGAGAGAGAGAGATTGAGCGAATGAGTGCGCAAAAGATAGCACGAAAGAACATGTTTGCTTATATATATATATATACCTTATACAGATAAAGTATATTATATAAATATATAAATAAATTTAATATTAACATAAGCATTTTGTCAAATGTCGAAGATCATCTGGAGGCATATGAAGAAAAGCTAACGATGATTTGATCTGTACCAAGTATATAAGTTCATGTACTTGTTTGTAAGGTAACTAAAAACTCTATTGCAAAAACGTTTTCGTTTTTGATCGTTTGCTATGAAAAAAGAAAAAAAAAAACATGCATCGATACTGTAACTTGTATTTATTATTATTATTATAATTATTCGATTTTCGCTAGGCTCACTGTAAGTGGTAACGTGTAATAAATCGGTCAATAAAAAGCTTACATGCTTAAGAAATTCCTTTCATGAGGTGCCCCTATTTTATATTTGACATAAAATGTAAAACTTGCTTTCTTTCTTTAAATGATGAATAAAATAACAATAAAATATTATCTTTTTAATTTTATTTAATCATTAAAAAACGCTGTACATTAGAAATAAATTCATAAAAATTATTTCTAAATATTTTTTTGTCCCTGTGAAGAAGCTTCCTCTGAAAATTTATATTTTTAGTCAACTTTGTAAAAGCGTCGGCTAATCTCTGTACAACTTGTTGATCCGATTGAGTGGATAAAATATTTTGTACAATTCGGTTATATTCATCTGGATAACACCATATCAAGTAATAAACTGACATACACGCATTTGATATAAAAGTCGAATCAACTTGATGTGTTAAAATGACTGTAATTAGTAACTAGAAAGGAAATATCAATTAGAATAAAATTATATGACATTTAATTACAACATTATTTCGAATAATAACTTACATTTAAAAACGGAACCATTATTTCACTTTTTGGACGGCCGTCTTGAATATTTTGAAAAATTTGATTTGTTATAATTTCAATTATGTTGAAACACAACATAGACACTTCATGACCAAACGAAAATAAACCTAATTCTATTGACGCTAAAAGTGGTCGCAATAATTCAGATGACAAATTTAGTACTTCTTGAGAACTATGTGTACAAAGAGACATTATCATTTGAAAATAGCTGTAAAAAATGTATTTTAACTGAAGATACATTTGATGGTAATTTTTACACAAGAATAAATCAAATAAACAATATAACTTACTGTAAACACAAACATGGAAATTTTAATAAATCTGTTGTCATCATAGGCATAATTATAGACAAGCCATGCAAAAACACTGTTGCATCTTGGAATATATTTTCCGATAAAAGATTAATTAGAAGTTTCATTAGTAACAAGATATCCTGATAATTGTCCTCTTCTGCAGTTGAATCTATAGTCAGTCGATTTGTGTTATAACGTGTATAATTTCGTATTGCACTTAAATATATCTCAGCCACCTGAAAATATTAATAAATATGTTTTAAATTAAACTATTATTTATGACTATAATATATAATATTAACATGTAATATTAAAATTAAATCAAAAATATCTTTTATATATACTATTAAAATGTAATTGCATCAAAAATACCCTTACCTGAGTAAAATGACAAAGAACTGGTCTTGGTCCATTTGTATATTCAAAAAGTAACTCCAAGATTAATTGTACTATGTCCCGATAATTATGATACACAGATATTAAATTTGGTACTTCACGTAATACCGGTTCTATGTACTGATATAGTGACTCTATTTTTGAACCTAGTGCACCTTGTGCCACTCCTATAAATATTTTAAATGTTGTTTAAATTTAATGGTTAATTTATCAAAAATGAAATGCTGAAGAATGAAAATCTCTAAAATAACTTACCAATAAAACATTCTAAAATATCCATAACTTGAATTTTAATTTCCTCTTGATGATAACACTGTAAAAATTTCTCATTAGAGGTAATTTGTTTAAATCTATCTAGTAACGGTTGTAAAGTTTGTGTCCAATAGGTTTGATCTATATTGCTTTCAGTAGCAGCTGCAACTTGTACCACTGTTTGCATTAATCCTCTTTTGATTACTTGTGGAAATTCACGTTGTCCTTTTGTAGCTAAATTTATAATATGTCCAAATCGTTCAGATTTCAAAACATAATTGGCTCTAAAACATATATATATATAAAATGTAATTTTTCTGTTAGATATTATACTACTGATTTGATTAAATGAATTTTTATTTAAGAATATAACATATATCACTTATAAAACATTTTATTATTTTACACTTACCTTTCTGTTGTACTAACAAGTGATATTAACAACTTCATAGTTTCATCCATTACTGTTGGTTCACTCTTAAATGTATTAATGTTAAATTCTATTTTTTCTAAAAGAAAATTCATAGCCCATGATGCTCCCGGTGTATTTTCTCCAAAAGTATGTAAAAATATAACAGATATTTCAAAATAATGATGTTCTACTAATAAAAGATACTGCAAAGACCATTTACGCAGAAACCAAGTTATAGTACAACTTAACTCAGGACTTAGTATATTATCTAATAAAACAGACGTTGCAGCTTTTTCTATGGCACACAGACGAAAAATACTTGCAACTAAACGAATGACATGATCTACTGATTCTGTAACGTTACCAATTGGTGATAAAACATTTTCTGATGATGCTAAAAATTGTAATGTAAGATTTATATCAACTTTTCCTTGTTGCACCTATGAAAACATATATTTAGTTTGTTTATAAATATAGTAACATTTTTAATAAAATATATTAATTATGTTATATGACTACTATTAATGTAAAGTGAAATTTTTTATTTCCATTTTATTTACACACCTGTTCCATGTCATAGGTTATTATTTCTGTAGGTATTACGACAAATTCATTATCAGACATTGTACAAAGTATATTGCCTATCATAAGTACTAGCCAATGTATGTCTTCGTACAATCTAGGTAAAGAATTATTTTTCATTGTATTAAATGAATCAATCTGTTCCACAAATTTATTTAAGTATTCTCGTAATTTAGAAGTACGATCTTCAATTAATTGGGCCAATAATGGAAGGGTATAATGTGGTATTTGTCTGCCAAAGATTCCTGTAATGAAATATACATATATATACTCTTTATTTATTCTCTAATTACATGTATAAAAATTTGTACATGCATACATATGTAAAATTTACCAATTATTTGTAAATGTTCCTTGAATTTTTTTCTATCAGTATTTTCATTATCTAGCTCTTCCTTCTCAAGATCTTTATCTTCAATATTTCTTACACCTTCTGGAGGTGATAAATGACACCGAAGATAAATGCTAAATAACTGTACAAAAGTTTGTTTAAGAAAGTCCAAAGAAAATAAATCTTCCTTCGATAAAATGTATAACCATGCATCAAACAAAGTATCTAGAGCTTCTGTATATAAACATTCACCAACATTTAACTACAATGAATAAAACAATTTTATTAGTAAGTACACAATTATTTTTCATACATGAAAACAATCTGTAGATAATATGTAACATTACTTACTGATTCTTCTTGTGCTGCATTTTCTAAGAACATGCAAGTTAATCGCGACATTTGGTCGAAAAATGTTTTTAACGTGTCATTAGGCAAAGAAGAAAATTTTTTTCCAAAAGACGTAAAAAGCTTCTTAATAATATTAGCAATTCCACTTGCTTCTTCATCAATAATATTAATGCTTGTAACAAATTTTAGAAATCTTTCCACATAGATAGTAAAGTATTCCATCTCTGTTACTTTAAATTGCATTTGTGTACCTCTCAAGTTTGTCATTTGTACTAAACAAGTTCTTACATGATGTGCTAATTGTGGATTTTCTCGTATTTTCCAATACAATGCAAACATTAAATCCAACACAGCTGGAATTAACATTACATCTTGCCAATCTTTATCTACTTCCAAAGGTACAACATCAACATCTGGCTTGTCTCGTGCAATAGAATTAAGGAAATAAAATAAAATCAGTAATAGGAAAAAACAACAATCCAAAGATATCTAAAAATATAGAAGATGACAGCATTTAGCTATGAAAAGGATATTTATCCATATTTGATGAACAAATGTCCATGTAAATATATTTTCCAAAATTGGTAGTAATTGTTTTAGAAGTGTTATACTATCGTCTTGTAAATCTTTTTTAATTAATTCTTCAACTACACTAATACAAAATTTAAAAATTCTTTTTAAATCAACAGTTTGAAATTTCTCCTTTACACTGAAATGTGTTTCCCATGTTAAACCAATATTTGTAGACTTACAATTGGTTACATATTCTTCAATTATAGCAGAAATAAGATTGCACCCCAGAAGTTTCTAAACATGTTACAAAATATTAAAATACATGATACTATACACAATACAAATTTAATTAGTTTTATTTACTTTTGGCAAATCACCAATCATTATTAAATTTTCAATTTCTCCTAATATCACTTGCCGTGCTTGTCCAGAGTCATTTACACTCTCTCTTTTTATTATAATTGCAATAACTTGTAATATACCTCCTTTGACATATGGAGGCAAATTTGGTTTGTTTATAACATAACGTAATAAATAATTTCTCAATGAGGAAATATCTGTTTGTGATAATAATGGCCATTCCCGTATTAGTGCTATTTTTATTAAGCCAACTGCCTCAAAAACAATATAATCATTTGTATTTGTCTCCAAAATTTGGCTACAAAGTTCATAAGGAGTTTTAAGTTTCCGAAAATTTAAAAACACTTCTTCTGCAGAACGGCGTTGCTCTGTTGAAATTAAATTTGGTGGTGCCTAAAAATAAAATACAGCTATTTAAATTAATGGTTTAAAAAATAAATTATTTAGTACTTTTTCTTATATATTAAAAACAATAATTATTTCTAAAACTTAAAAATATGTTAAATTGTTTTAATTATTAAATTAAATTATATCATGTATGTCCATATATAAACACTTTTAATTGTTTACATAATTCATCAATTTTATACATTTTAAATTATATGTATATATGTAATGTAAATATATGCATTGTGTATATATAATATCAAAAAAATATTTAAAAAATTTATAAAAAATAGATTAATTTCACTCTCAAAGAATTATACATTTCACATGCAAATTGTATATTAGCATTTAAGTTTCTACTGATTATGTTTAAATTTCTATATATTTAAGATCTAAATTGTATTACACATCTTTCTTTTTCACATAAAATTGTCACAAAGATAAAATGTTATTACATAAAATATATGCATACGATAATTCTCGTATAACTCAAAACATTTAAAAAATTTAGTGAATATTTATTTATAACCCTCACAAAGGTTGTTTTATTGAATATAAACTTACCAAAACTATTTGCGCAGCTTTCTCTAATTCACTTAATAATTGTTCTGCCATTTGGTTAAAAATATTAAAATTTCCTAAATTAAAATAATGTTTGTAAACAAATTTGTGCAATAAACAACATTCGTCATGTAATATAACCCGGTGCAGTTTCCATCAACTAAACTATACTCAAATCAATGTGTCAAGCCGAATTTATTGCGCATGCTTTAATTCGTAAATTTGTACGTGATATAATTGCATATAATATATATAAATTATATTAAAATATAAAATTAAAAAATTAATCTGTACATCCGCATATAATATTTTATTTGAAAGATAATAATACATTAATATCTTCTATTTACTAATATATATTACGATTTTCACAAATAATATATTATTATCAATATAGACCTAATTATAAATTTAAAGATATATAAAAAGAGAATTTTCATTTAACAAGACAAATAACAAATAAAATGCAAACTTTTACTAGATTAAAAATAATAAATCTGAAACTGAAATTTAAGTGAGTTATGAAAAGTATAGATATGAATAATAAACATAACTTATAGAAGCAATATTTCTATTCAAATTTTATAATTATACACCTTTTCCATATTTTTTTTTACTTATTTATTCATTTAAAAAAATTCATAACTTAATTGCTTCAATACATATTACAACACAATACAAATCATACAAAATTATTTACAATATCTATCTGCCTTCATTTTGCTTCTTCTATCCAACAAAGCTTCATGTAAATTTCCTTCTCGTTTTGCTTTTTCTAATTTAGAACAATCTTCTTTACTTACTCTTAACTTTTTATCTTGGAATTTTTGAAACTTCCTCCTAGAATATTATAAGTTTTATCTCTTTCATATGCCTAAAATAAATTTGCATATGTGTTACTTACACATAATTCACTTCAACATCATGAAGAGAACCCTGTTCCTCTTTTGGAATATCTTTGTTTGGATCTTGAGCTTTTTGAGTTATGCTTCTGATAATGCAAAATTCAGAAGATCCAGCAGTTTTTCTCTGACAAATAATATCATCCTCATCTGTAACTGACATGAAACAATTGTTGCTATTTAAAATAGCAAGCTTCTTGTCCTAAAAAAGATCAATAACTTTTTTATAACATATATGTGGAAAATATGCACAAAAATATGCATAAATATAAAATATGTATTTCAATAAAAAATATAAATTTGAATCTAAAATTAATCAGTGGCAACGAATACCTGAAATATTGGTTCCCATTGTTCAATCATGCCTACTGCATCACTTCTTCCAACAACAATACCTTTTTTATCAACACCCAAATATTTCCCATAACCAGATTTTAATGCAACTTTAGTTTCACTTATTGGAAAAGCTGTTAGAATTTCTTCTGGCAAAGGTCCTTCACCTTCGTTATGAGGTACACCTAAGGTAAATAACCCATTATCAAGAGCTTTCATATAAATATGATTTCCAAATTCAATTGCAACTGTTCCTGTGACTTCTGACACTTGTGATGCTTTCCACCAACCACCTATAAATTATATATCATATAATCATTGATAATTGATATAATTTATTTTTAGACTAAGATATTTATAATATTATAGTAAAATACCATGAATTATAGTATCTTTATCTTCTAAAGTAATAACATGTTCTTTCTCTTGCTTTTTTAGCTTTCGTTTTTTCGTTCTGTAAACGTCAAAAGACAACCAAATTACCTTACAAACAATGAAACAAATAGGTTAAGTATAACATTTATTCATACCTTATTTTTTCACCTTTTAAAACAAGTTTTCCAGATCTCACTTTATCATATTCAGACATTTTCACTCTTTTTTATGTAATTAATGTAAAAATATTTAATTTTTGTTAATAATTTCGGAATTTTGATGACTGCATTTAAATGAATTAAAAATTTTTTTAAATTAAGAAAAATTATTTTATCATATACACAAATATTTAGATGGCAATATTATTACTTAAATAATAAAAATTATGTTAATATTACTTTCATATTTTACATTCACCATCAGTCTATACAACTGAACTACTTGCACATCGCTAGTTATATTTCTACTTAAAATTATAATAACTGTTGGAGTAGATGTAAGTAATTTATAACGTCGGCTGAAAGGGTCTACATGTAGTGAGAGAGTTTTCCGACTATGGAATAAAACCCAAAAATCCTGGATTAGTTATCGAGAAGAGTCATATATGTTGGATGCGCTCCCTGAAGTATCTCTAAAATAAAGCCATTAAACCTCTGTTATGATACGGCGAGTTTTATTTTGCCCACGCATTAATTTTGACGCAGCTCCTTCTAATTCAACAGTAATTGATATATAAACTAGTATAACTTCATTTTCTTATTTATAAAATTTATTTTAATTTACTAACTATTTAATTTCAATAGTATTTATAAATTATACAAATTTTTAATATGAATAGTTATTTTATATCATTATTATCCTTAAATAAGATAGGTAATAATAACATGTATAATTATGTAATATATAAACATTTTTTAAAATATAAATATTAATATATATCAATATGTATCTAGATTTTTTGTTTATATAAAATATTACTCTTAATGCAGATAAACAATAATTCTTAAAGTCACATTTTACATATAATATGCCATATAGTATATAATTGATTATAATTTTGTACTTTTTAAAGCACATAATATCGGATAATATATTATTTAACATCTGTGTTTAAAATTATAAAAAGTAGAAATATTAAATATTATAATTTGTATATTTTCATACGAAAAACATTACAATAGGCCATAGTTGAGCGCAATAAATATTTTAATACATGCATAATATAAAAGTGCAAATGCAAAATCCTTTAGGATCCTACAAGTATTGTGCAAATAAATGTGCAGAATATAAAATTCTCTTGGATTGTTATATTTTTTCATGTAATGTAAATATAAAATTCGGATTACAAACGTAAATTATTTTATAAATATCGATTCAAAATATCATATTATTAGAATATTACAAAATTCCTAAATATATATATTTTATGCGCATAATTATTTTGTGGACTTTTTAATATGAAATGATTGAAATTCTAAAAGCATTTTTTGTGATAGCCATAATTTACATGGAAAAAATTATGTACAAAATTAAAAATATCGTTTTACTTTATATTCAGTACTAAGTATTAAATATTTACTAAAAAATTAAACTGTAGTACAATTTGTACTAATAACATATACTAAACTACATTTTTAATCTTACACAAAAAATGAATTAAACGAATATAAATGAAATAAAACAATTGTTTGGTTTAATGTCGAATTGTAATGAATAATTGAGATTAATCAATTTTAAAGAGTTTTTCTAGTATTCGAGAGCATTAAATTATTCTAATATTAAGTTTGATAAAAGAAGTTTTATATATTATTGCAATTTTTTGATTTAAGAGCTTTGAAAATATTAAAACGTATGTATATATGTATTATTTAATGTGACACTCACACATATACACACACGCGTATGCGCGCCCAAACGCACGTACACAAGCTGCCTCAAAAGTAATCGATCTCTGCGAAAATCATTATTTTTGAGCAGTTTGTGATAAAAAAACCGGCATTCATTATTTAGGGAAGACCTTAAAGAGTATCTCCACCAAGAGGTACAATCTCAATTGTTCAGTCAGTAATAATACACAGGTTTGCGAAATGTCGAAAATTTTAATTATCGCATTTCATAATGATTGAACGAATTGAGATGAGAATTTGCATTAAATTTGACCAAAATCTTAGTCACACATATTGGGATACAGTAGATATGATTCGAAATGTTTATGGTATTGATTCTATGTGTAACACACAAATAAAAGTGGTTTAAATGGTTTAAAGATGGCTTTGCTTAATAAACTGTAATTCTCATTTTGGTCTAGTATGTCAAAAATGGTAAAAAACATGGGACATATATGAGTCATGATTAATGAAAATTGTCGTTTGATTGTGCGAATATTAGATTTTGGAAGCCTAAAAACTATTGTTTTTTGAATTTTTATTAAAACTCTTTGGATTAGACATGCAATTGTGAATCTTGGGATTGATTCGATGTTGATTCGAAAAAAAAATCCTGAGTTGCATAAAAGTACTAATAGTAAAAATGAAACATAGGTTTATGGCTATAACCCTGAAACAAAACTATAATCTTCGCAATTGGAACGATGAAAGAAGTCTCGTCTCAAGAAAGCAGATCAAAAGTAGAAACAACGTAAAGGCAATATTTGTTGTTTTCTTTGACTAAGGTGATGTTGTACACAATAAATATACTACTCAAGATTGCACAATAACAAGGAATTTTACTTATAAATTCTTAAATGATTGTGCAATGCAGTGAGAACAAAATTACTGAATTTGTGGAGAAGTAAAAACTAGTTGCTACACATGTTTATATAACTTATCTGATAAGAGATTTTTTTATTAAACCTGGGATTGCCCAACTTTGTCAACTCCTGTGTGATTTACACATAGCATTACATTACTTTTGGCTAGTTCTGAAATTGAAAATATTATTGAAAGACAAAAGATTTAATAATAACAAGGAAATGAGAAAATATGACAAAGCAATTATTAGCTATCACAAATAATAGCTTCCAGGATTGCTTCTGGAAGTGAGTGGATTATTTTGAAGGCAATATCGATCATATTACTCTACAGTAGCTCTTTCTGACAATATAAGCAGAGATACTCTTGGGATAGACCTCATACATATGTATTGGAATTGTATAAAAATTATTTTAAAATGTATCAAAAATCCAAATTAATAAATTAAAAGAAAAAATATTGTAAATACTATCATTTTTATACATATACTTTTTTACAAAAAGATTGTTACATAAAAATATTTTGATAAAAAATTGTATACATTGACCAATATAATTTAATATCTACTAATACCTTTTTTAAATTTTGAATACAGTTCAACACTTTTCTTTGCACTGTCATATCATCTAATAGTTATTAGATGATATATAATAACTTTTTCCATAAAATATTGACCTTTCATATTGTTAAGAATAGAAAAAAACATAAAATAATTTTCTATCTTATTTCTTCTTTGAAAAGAGAACATAAATTTTTGTTATAAAAAGCATCATATTGGGTAGTATCAATTTTTAATAGCCAATATTGGTGAAATTGGTTAATACCAAATATGAATCTTACTTGTTTTTTTGAGCACTATTATAAATTTGTAAAAATCAATTATTTACACGTCTGGCAATTGGATATCGAAGTACTAAAACACTGTCGGCAGATATAATTGGTAATACATTGTCACAGTGATGATTTACTAAATGACTAACACTATCGAAAACGCGATCTTTCGTGCGAACCTGAAATTAAAATATATTATAAATATTATTATTACAATATAAGTAGATTATAAATTTCTCACAGTATAATCTGTGGAATACTTACTACACCTTCTGGATCAATTAGTAATAAATGTTTTGGTGTACCATTATTCATACCAGTGAGGACATATTGACCAGGTGAGCCTTGAGATTCTCGAACCAAAAAATCACCATCCTACCAAATATGTTGAGTCAAGATACACATATTATTATATATACATAAATATTAATATTTATTTCAATATTTACCCTTGTTAGCATTGATTCTGCTTCAGCCCGACTAACACTGCCATGAAACCACATCTCTTGTTTTAATTGTTGTTTTTGAGAATGTGGACTTAATCTATTCATATCTGATATTGCAGAACTAAACGGCTCTATAAAATTATATTCTGTTACATTGAAATCTTATGTTTAATATCATATATATAAAAAATATTAAAATATTTTGTCTAAAATTACTTACGCATGTCAAACACATCAAAAAGTGATGTCTGATCACGATGACTTTCTCTCGTAGCTGCTATAACACTGTCATTTACATAGTTATGTTCAGGAGGAATATTGAAATTTGTTGATGTTCCATCAGAATTTAAATCAATCAAGTTACCAGTTTCTGCATTGGTATTAATACATCTATTAAATAAAATTATAAATTGCAGTAAAAGATAAAAAAATAAATATTACCTGCCCATTGTTGATGATGTCTATCAGGATTGACAGAAAATGTATCATGCAAAACAGAATTTTGTACAGTGCTTCGTGACATGTGATTTTGAACAGAATGATGATGTTTTAAATTGGGTAAAGTTGATGCTGAAGTTGGTAAAGGTGGAACTGGTGGAGGTCCAATATCTGGTGGTACCTTGCCAGGCAAATCATTATAATAATCTCTATCTGCTTCTCTTATGCCATTTAATATAGGGCTATAATATAAAAAAGAAGCTTATTAAATAAAACATAAAAGTTAATTTCATAATAAAAAACAGTTCATTTATATGTGTAATTACTGTAATGAAGCTGGTTTTGTAAGAAATTCTTTAAATCGTAATTCAAAAGCTTGACCAATTGTGGATATAACATCTTGAGCTAGTCCTCCTCCACATTCTAGTACATAACAAGCACGCCATTCTTGCATGTTTTTAGCAACGTATGCAACAAAATCCAGTATTTCCTATCAAAAAATACAATAATGTCTAATATATTATAATCATATAAACATAAATGGTAATAAAAACTAATACTTCAAAACAGATAACTTACTGTATCTCCTCCTGAAGCAAAAGATATACGTGGCATTTCATGTTTGGCAATAATGTGTCCAGTTTCTATATTAGTCAAAGCTAAACTGCAGCTACTAATGGTCAAATTTATTGTAGCACCTGTATGTTCCATGCGAGGTTTGTCTGCTATTGCTCTTAACACTTTTCTATCCACCTTTAAATGTAAATTATTATAAGTTTCAAGTTATAATTACAACAATAAAAATTATGAATACATACTCTTCTTTTTTTGTCTGCAGATTTTAAACCAGCTGCTTCACAAACTCTGTTTATACATTCTCTAAAAATATTTTTTTTTTAATATCTTAAGAAGGTATTTACTTTTACATTTCTTCATATTTAAAATAAACTATAGAAATAAAAATATTCCAAGAATATTCAAAAACTTACTTGGCAACACATGATCTTGTTTCAAAATCTAAACTTTTCATAGATGTATATACTTCCAAACATCCGATGTACTGAAAGGCACGTAATATGATAAATAAAATTATTATTATTATTACCATTACCATTAATTCATAACATTTATAATTTATAAAATGACTTCAAAATTACATATTAAATATAAAAAGATGAAAACTTACTTTAACAGTATAAGTAATTCCTTCTTTACTCACTAAGTGATCAGGGTGTAACCATCCTCTGGCTGGTTTACTTATGAAACTACTACCTCCAGTTGCCATTTCTAAGTTCTATGTACATATGTATATAATTACAACAAAAACATTTCAGATATTACACAGAACATTGAATTTAGACTTTTTGTAGAAGTAAGTATGAAAAAAATTATTTCAAATATTTCAAAGATATATGTATGTTTATAATCCCTATTTAAACTTGAAACTGAATTTAATATATGTTTAACACTTTAAAATAATAATTTTAATAATATTACGATGGTTATTATATAATACATATAACCGTACTTAACATAAAACTACAATTAAAATACAGTTGTGATAATGACAACTAAATGTAAATAACTAAAATATTTCGTTAACTGTGAATAAGAAAATTTCGGATTATCGCACGTATGATTTACCAGGAAATGAGATCATACCTCGTAGACGGTTACGGGGATCATGCGTCTACGATACAATTATACGCATTTAATTTATTAATCATTCTATACAAATTTTTTGACACTATAAAATAAAATACTCCAATAAATTCATATTGGTCTATATTTTCAGCTATACTAAAGTTAAAGGCACATATACTTTATTGCCAAATTCCATAAACGCTAAACACAAATGACCAATAATTTAACTATACTTTCTTCATCATCGACTAAACAGATATGTTTATTTATTTTGAAACTGGATCCAGTATATTATGATCTAGATATAATTAATTAATATAAATTTTATATCATTGATACTAAAATATGAAGATATATATGTATTTTAACTACATATATAATATGATTTTTAATATTGCTTTAACAATAATTTTGTGTCATGAAAATAGTTACAAGTTACTGTACAAAAAATTAAAAGTATTTATAATGTATATATAAATATTATATGTCATATTTTTTTATTGATTAGCAAAATGAATTAAAGAATTTCTTTCAAAATTTCTTATATTGAAATTTTTATATTGTTATAAAATATTTATAATTTATTATACAATATATACTCGTGTAATATTAAATATAAACCTTCATACCATGTTAAATGTAATGAATTATTCACTGAAATCAATAAAAATAATAATTTTTAGTTTCAAGGAGGCTGTTTAATAAATTCTAAAGTTCTGTACTCGAGTTCCGTGTCTAAACCTGTTTTGTGCTTGGTTAAGGTGTTATTCATATAATAAATAATTTTTTCAATTTAATAGTACACGTTGTAAATTTTTGTATATCATGATATAAAAGAGTCATGAAAAGAATAAAACTTAAGCCAGAGAAACCGAATCCATTGTTTGAGTTTTGGTTAGAAGAATGGAAGAAAGAAGCTGCATCTAGAAATTCTGATTTACAGCATCATTTTTCGAAAGCACTTGTTTCGTTGAAAAAATATCCCTTGCCGTTAAAATCTGGGAAGGATTGTATAATATTACAACACTTTGGCACAAAATTATGCTCGATGTTGGATAAAAAACTTGAAAAATATAAAGCACAAAATGAATTCTTAAGAAATGAAAATAACCTTTGCGAGTATTGCAGTTGTAATGAATATATACGCAAAAGAAAAAATAAATCACCACAAACTGTCATAAATGCAGGCTCTGTGCATGGAAAAGTAAATATATTTATATATTTTTTATAGATATATAAAATCATTTAATTACATGTACAAATTGATAAAATAAACTTAATGTATCTTTTGTTTTAAGACGCAACTAATAGCATTTGATAACACAGAGTTATTATCTTGGGATGTAGAAAATTATGCTGCTTTATTGATATTATATAAAAATAAAAAGGACACATGTGATTCAGGTATTTTTTAAGGGAAATTTTTATTGTCTTTATTATTATCTTTTTATTATCAATTTAGTTATGTATATTTTATTTGGTGTACTAATTTATTAGGATATGTTACGGAAGTAGATCTACTAACTGAAATAAAAAAGTTATGTGGTCATGCATCAAAGACTTCAATTTCAGACTTGTTTGATAGTGGCTTAATTGCAATGATAGGTGCACCAATTAGGTAATAATATTTATTAATAATAAATTGTAAAATTGTATGTAGCATATAAATTTAATTATTCAGTGCCATTAAAAGTAATGTAACTTATACAGATATGACCTCACAGAACAAGGTATAAATATTTTAGAAAAAATATGTGGGGTTACAACTACTAATGTAAAATCAATAAATTGTTCTGAAATTTTAAATAAAATTCAGATATCCTTAAAGACCTCGTCAAAATCACAGACATCAGAGTTAATGAAGAATTTTAATAATGAAAATATAAATAAGCAAATAAATACAGAATGTTCTAAGGATATACAAAACAAAAAATCAAATAAATCCTTAAAATTATATAAGTCTAGATCTGCAGAATGTATTACTACTGAAAGTTGTAAAGAACAATTTAATGAAAACATTATAAGACAGAAATCCTTGGAAGGTAATACAGATCTAGAAAAAGTACAAGGAAAAGCAAAAGAAGTAAAAAATGTAAAACATGTGAATAATTTAGACAATAAGAAAAAAGAAATCAGTAATCTCCAAAAAACCATTTATTTAGAAGCAAATAAATTTGATATAATACTATTAGTAGATACACAGGAGACTTGTGGGTATGTTTCATTTCATAAAATTTTGATATTCAATTGATATATTTTGAAACGACTTTGATATAGTGGTAGGACGAAACCACAACATGATGCTACTATAAAGGAATTAACACAACTTGATGTATTGTTTGAAATACGTCACTTAAAAGTTGGCGATTTTGCGTGGATTGCTAGATGCAGAAATAAAAATAATGAATTAATTTTACCTTACATAGTAGAGAGAAAAAGAATAGATGATTTAAGTGCAAGTATCACAGATGGGAGATTTCATGAACAAAAGGTATTATTAGAAATAAATTATTTTTGCATATATTATATATTTTTGTGTGTAATTAAACATAAAATTATTTTATGTAGTTCAGATTAAAACATTCTGGAATTACAAATCTCATGTATATTATTGAGGAATGTGCAAAGGCTCAAAGATTAACAATACCACATTCATCATTGATGCAAGCTTCTATTAATACTTTAATACAAGATGGTTTTTCTATAAAATATACTAAAAGTCATAAAGATTCTATGTTTTATTTGTCTTCATTAACTAGAATTTTAATTAAAACTTTCAAAGTAAGTATTCTTTCTTTAACAGATTAGTTACATAATTTAGTTTTGATTTTGTTTTAAAACAAAATATTAGGGAAAAAATCTAATAGGATGTAAAAAAGAAGTAATTGAACAGACAGATATTTTAAGCAATACTTGTAATCTTATGGAATTTGAAGAATTTAATAAAGCAGCTTCTAAACAAAAGGTACATGCAATATATATGTGTCATATACTAATCTGATATTTATATCAATCAATTTTCTAGGTATTTAAAGTAAGCGAAATGTTTGTCCGTCAATTAATACAATTGAAAGGAATGTCTGTTGATAAAGCTTTAGCAATTGTAGAACATTATCCAACTCCACAACTATTAATTGAAGCTTTTCAAGCATCTGATTGCAATGGCGAATTATTATTAGCAAATATTGAATTTGGTGATAGGAAACGTTCTATAGGATCAATAATTAGTAAAACAATTTATCAATTGTATACGAAAAAAAATTTTAATTGATAAATGCTTTTTATATTATTTTTAAAGGTATTGTAAATAAAAAAAAATATCATTGGTATGGAGTTTGTTTATTGTGTTGAAACTTGAACATCTGACATTCTAAAATATTAATGCACTGGTTGCAATATGCCGTCTGTACAAATATTCAATGACAAAATATTTGCAAATAACTGAACAATTAAATTTGTTGAACTTTTTAAAAAATAATCAAGTTTTCGTTCGCACTATTTCAATATCTATAACTCGATTCACAATGTAACTGTAGTAATATTTGTAACAACACTAGTAAAGCATTATACTAGTAAATGTTAGTATTATTTGTATTTTATATGAAATGTATTGAACACGTAGATAGTAAGTGATAGTTTAAAATAATGATTCATAAGTCATAAGTCCAGGTAAGTTGTGTACAAACAAATGAAATTTTGGCACCAAAAAATAAAGCACTGCTTCTTTTAAATATTTCATCTTCTTCTTTTAAGTGCTTTATCCGATATAAAATTTACAAAAGTCATTCATTATAGCCGCAACTACTCGATAGTTTTTGAGATATTTACGATTAGTCTTATTACTTGTTTACTATATATTTATTTCTAATACGTGACAAATTAATTTGTAGCGGAAAGGCAACGATCGAGAACTGCTAAGTAAAACTGGAGGAGCCGGGGTTCGATTCCCATCCATAGTTTTTTCAATATATTTTTTATTTTGTATTCATTTTTCGCCTATGAAAACATTGTAAATACACAATTATAAATAAAATTTCTTAATAAAAAAATTTATTTTTTACGCTTTCTTATGCTAGTATATATTTATTACAAAATAATAAAAATATTGTGCAAGAAAAATACTTTTCTATAGCAATCTTATTTACTACAGGAAATATAAAACCTATCGCTCATGTAAGCATTAATTATTAAATTAAACATTGTATAAGAATAATTCCAACTTTGCTGTGCAGCTATAAATGTTCATGAATTAATTAGAAAAACTTGGAAATTTATTAATTTTCTACTTTCGAATAAATAAAAATTTTACCGCCTGCGATCAGCGCCATCTATGATTTGGGCTCAAAAATCAAGAAAGTAATAGGAATATAGAATAGGCGAGGAGGTCGTCGAAGAGCTCAACAGAGCCATCTGTGTTCTCGTTGCGGAACACGAACTTCGAGTCTAACCTCATAGATGACTCTCATGCCAGTTTACTAACTCTGGTTATATGCTCCGAATATATTTTAATAAATCAAATTGGCAGTGGAAAATTCATTAATTACTCAATATCTGTGATTAATTTATGAACTTTTATAATTGCATCGTAAAGCCAGATCCTTCACGAACTTTCCAATATATTTTTCGATATAAATTTTTCCCTAATTAATTAATTATTAATAATTATTCTACGAAATGTTTGAATTATTGTCGAAAATTGTCAAAGACACCATTGGTTTTTCATTAATTACTATCCTTCACGCAATTAATTTATGAAACTTTATGCACTCATTATAAAAACAATGTTCTTGCGAATCTTCTCATATAACTTTTGATCATATTTTGCTTCTAGTTTCGTTTAGTATTAATTATTTTCACGGAAGATCGTGATGGTCGCCGTTGCGAAATCATAGACGCCATCAAACAAAAATTAATAACTAACAATTTAGAGCTAAATTCTTTACGAAAATTATATGGGAATGCAGTCTGAAGTTCCAGCTTTGCAATGAAATTATAAAAGTTCACAAATTGTTTACGAAAATTGAGTAATTAATAATTTTTCACTGCCGGAGTCACTCTATCCTTTTCTATCCCCTCCCTGTCCTTCTCTGCCACGTGTTATGGCTCTGTTGAGCTCTTCGACGACCTCCTCGCCTATTCTATATTCCTATTACTTTCTTGATTTTTGAGCCCAAATCATAGATGGCGCTGATCGCAGGCGGTAAAATTTTTATTTATTCGAAAGTAGAAAATTAATAAATTTCCAAGTTTTTCTAATTAATTCATGAACATTTATAGCTGCACAGCAAAGTTGGAATTATTCTTATACAATGTTTAATTTAATAATTAATGCTTACATGAGCGATAGGTTTTATATTTCCTGTAGTAAATAAGATTGCTATAGGAAAGTATTTTTCTTGCACAATATTTTTATTATTTTGTAATAAATATATACTAGCATAAGAAAGCGTAAAAAATAAATTTTTTTATTAAGAAATTTTATTTATAATTGTGTATTTACAATGTTTTCATAGGCGAAAAATGAATACAAAATAAAAAATATATTGAAAAAACTATGGATGGGAATCGAACCCCGGCTCCTCCAGTATTAATTAACAGTACTAGATCATTGCCATTACGCTATAAATTAATTTGTCACGTTTTAGAAATAAATAGAAAATAAAGCAAGTAATAAAACTTTAATCGTAAATATCTCAAAAACTATCGAGTAGTTACGGCTATAATGATATATTTTCTTAAACTGCATGATATCTACAAAGCTGCAAAGTTTCAACTAAATCTGTGACCCGAAGGACGTGCACTCTCCTTGTAAGTTAAATCTTTTCTAATTTATTTTTATCATAATTTATTTGATTATTTTTACTTGGTCTGCTATCATGCCTTTATCAATCATATTCAAGCTGAATTAATCCTAAAATTTTGAAATCTCAAAATACAGCGGAACAATAAACCTTAAATTAATCGTGAATAATAATCGTTCGTTAACTTATTATACGTAATCTTTATTTATTAAATATAAATTGGATTGTTTTATCATGTAATTTCTGAATTATTTATATGTGTAAATCTGTAACGCAGCTTTATTAGCGGTAAAACTCAAATTTTTCATTGCGGACATTGTTATGTTATCAAAATAATTACAAAATGAATTCGATCAAGTGGGATTCAGTTCATTATTTTGATGACACGGATAATAATCGGCTTAATGGTTAAAATATAAAATACCAACATCGAATGTAATATCTACATTAATAACTTTATTTGCATGTTCGATGGGGACATTTAAATTTAATATTAATAATACGTATCACGTTTTTACACATTCTATTATGCAGATTCTTGGGCAATTCGGGTATAAAATACAACAGATACGATTAAAAACGTTGGATAGATAACGCAGGTTCATTCCTTTAGTGACATTAACATCGTGAAGTACGACATGCAGGTTTTGAAGGTCTTAAAATAAAAGTGACCATTAATAGAAGTTAATACAGTAACTATAATAATCTTGCAATACTACATACTATCCCAAAATTTTCCATATTCATTTGGTATAAGCCACCTGCCGTTAGTGCACAAGGTTTTTTACTCCTTATTTGCATCGTATAAAGCATTTTTTGAATTTTTACTGGTATTCTGTACCACATAGAACCGTATCTGTTGTAATATTAATAAAATATTATCCTCGAGTCTATGGATATCAGAATTTATATAAGTATACGAAATACATACATATCATCTGCAAGCATGCTACAATAATCTAGCAGCACCTGGCCTGGTAAACTGATCACAAATAAATGGAACTGTTCAGCACCAAGGAATACTCCAGTTCTAAATGCTTCGTCTGGTTTATCTAAATTTGCGACAGTCTAAAACACAAAGATGTCGATTAAGTTTATGCCCTTTCAATTTCTATTTGTTTTCATTTGGTATGTCTTTACTTGAACTGCCGTCACGCTTATTCCCATCATATTTAATCCAACCTGAGCTAAGTAACTACTTTGACTGCTTTCATTTAGAATATCGTAGAACCTCAAAACGTAATAAAAAAACCAGTTTCATAATCTATTACACATTATCGTTATTTAATGGATACAAACTGAATGGCTTCATGATGGAATATAATGCAATTTCGGCACTGTTCGTGCGTGTAACTCTCCGAAATGGGTTCCCCAGTGATTAAGTCGGTATCTCTTGTTGCCTTCTGGACTCGATGACTATCATTTATAACATGAATTATAAAATACGATTATAACATTTACGAGTATATCTGGGAAGGATGCAACTGCTGAAGTAACTGCATGTTTCTTACATTCTTATGGCACTATGTATACGATATTTACCTACACACTGCGAACAATCCGCTACTGTGGTGAATTATAAGGATGTATAACGAATCAACGGTAACTATCCCTAATACAGTAATGACTGCCCCCCAAGTCAATTGGATATATACGTAAAAAAAGTAGTCTTTATCATCAAAGAAAATGTAATTAACTTTAAGGAATTGTTGTCGCTGTCGCGTTTCATTCAGTGGATAAACAACGTCCAGGATAGGAAAAAAAAGTGGAACCAACACGAACAGTACCGTAAAGGACAATAGAGTGTCTGGAAAAAATATAGTTAATCGATTACGTGAAAAATAATAAGGCTAACAATAAGTTAAATCATTGCGACGCGATAGCTTACTTCGATATATTAACGCCATTTTGCTGCCTTGCGAAGCGATTTCTTCCAGGATATGTAATTCGTTATTTAACTTCAATTCCTTCCACTCTTTTGTCACAAATATAAATATTTTTTTAAACTATAATACAACACGTTATTATAATTTTTTCAATGAATTTTCGTATAATAATAAATTTACCCACATTTTCCCTATTAAGGTGGACGTTTAATATCTTAACAAGACTGGTAACAGCCGCGATTAAATGTGGTAGGCACTCGATTACTGCGTCCATATTCTTGTCACATAACGATGTATAAAATTCTAACGACTAATAAATCGAAGGACCCGAATGTATAAAATTACCTGATTATTTACTATGTTGCCGAGAATTCAGTTGCCGCATTAGCTCAATAATACTTTTCTATTTAATGTTTAATATGTTTCCCTTACCGATGGAACAACAATGCCTACAATACTAATCACCACTATAGTTACGATAACATTCCTGACTTCGTCTCTTTGATGTGGATCTTGTCCCAAAACTTGCAAGTACTTTTGCAGCATTTTATAATGAGGAATATCAAATATGTCGGGACCCTGTTCTTTGTCTTTCTGAAATACTAAATATCTCAAGTTTAGATTAACCTCGCAAACATATATATCGAATTTCACGTTAATGTATCACTTAAAGAAAAGCTAGGTAATAGGAACGTGATGTAATTATTACATCTCTGTTTCTTACTACTCATGTTCCCAAATTTTCAAAACAGCACCGTGTTTAATTATTGCAATTAACGTTTATAATGATCCTTTGCTTCAAATATACTGTTGTACCAGAGGTACGAATGTTATTCTTTCGAGGACCGTGGAAATCAATCTGACGAATGCAGTTGTGCGTGACAACGAATGTTAGTGAAAGTATGTAATTCTGATTTTCAAGTATAGTATTGATCGTTCACTTACCCGACAGGTATGGATTACATTATGACTTTATAATTAAAACAACAGATGTCAACTGCTTGTGTAATAAGGAAATAAGGGTTATCACGCCTGTCCGTTGCGCTAGAAATCGATCATCTGTTATTATCCTGAAACACGAATCTACCGTTTGAAATTTTGGTATGTATTAAGCATTTGGTGATGGACAGAAGATTTTTTCAAACCACCAAGTAATAAAATCTGTTGAATTCTTCAAAAACTGCAAAGTCTCGTCTCGCGGTGCATTGCAGTAGAAATAAATCTATCCATTTCCAATCGTCGGTCTTTCTTGATGGATGAAAAAGTCTTCGTAACAGTGTTATTTGTGCGAGACGGATATCGTGATAGTAAAAAAATGATTGCAACATTCGTATCATTTATCTACTACTATCGGTTTATTTTCTATTACTTGAGTCACAAAATGCAAACCTTTTGTCTCGCAGTATACAACGAAATCAATTAGACAGCAGCCAATTCATTATTTTGGTAATGTGCATATTCTTATTTATGTGTTATGATATTAATATTTTATCCTTTTTATTCAATTGTCCATATTGTTAATTAGTTCAAGTATCAAATATTTGAGTACAAAGTGCAATGGATTACACCGTTTCACTTAATAGCACATCACAATTACTGAAGGATGTTATATATCGTGAAATATGTTTTGCATTACCAGCGTAAATATTTAGCAATTTAATAAAAACATACAATTTTCTTATAAATTCAGTGATTTATTCATTTTATAATATATATTTGTATATCGCATGCCAATTGTTTTGATCATTGATAAATTCATCAAAACTGTTGAATAAGAAGTTTTAATTACGTTATGTTATTACGTAACTGTTTATATTGCATTGTATTGGATATATTTTTATCATCTTCTAAGAAATGTTCACGATATTTGTCCAAAAGTGTATATATTTTTAATATGTTTGACATATAAGTAACATTTTACTTACATCAGAAATTAGAAAAGTTATTACTCTGCCCATTAGTTAAATTTCACGTTCCACTGCGATTGAATAGAATAATATCTCAAAAATACTAAGTATTTGAAACCAATTTTTAATTGAAAGCAAATTGATAATAAGTTTCACTGAACTAGTATAATAAATTCTGTGCATACATGTTAAAATCGTTTTCATCATTATGTCATGATAAACTGTACTTTTCTCCCAGTAGTAGTGCACTATTGCAACATCGATATAATATTTAGGAAACGAAACATCGGCTTGTCGACAAATTATAGAGCCATAAAAAATTAATATCTTTGTACAGCAACGAAAAATTATTGTCTCAGTGACAAGAACATCGTAAAATACGACATGCACGCTTTAACAGTCTTAAAATAAAAAAAAAAAGTCAATAATTACCAGCGTTCACTCTTATTATTATAGTGCATTATTTTGATCTACTCCTATGATTACATACTATTCCGAAACTTTCAATTTTCATCTCGTATAATCCTGCTGCCGTCATTATACAGGGTTTGTTGGACCTTATTTGCATCATGTAAAACACTTTTTGACATTTCATTGGTATTTGATACCAGTCGGAGCTGTATCTATCGGAAAATTAATCGAATCAAATTATCTCCAGTCTTCTTCGTGTTTTATGCGTATCAAAAACTTACATTTTATCTGCCAATTCTAAGCTTTGCTCTAATAAATCTTGTCCAGGTAGACTAATTACGTATAAGTGAAATTGCTGAGCCATAAGGAAGACAGAAGCCCTGATGGCTTCTTCCGGTTTGTTCAGAAACATAACTATCTAGAATATATCATATTTTCCCCAATAATTATTTATTTAAATAATAATTGATAAATTATCATTATGTACGAGGCGTATGCACGTATACGAATAATAAAAGTGTTCTTACTTCAACAGCTGTCGAAATTATAACTATCATATTCAGACCCATCTGAACTAGGTACAAGTTCCGACAACATTTCGCGAGGAGATGGTAAAATCTTAAAATGTGACAAACGAATCAGGATCAGTTCAAGGTAAATTATTTCTATTCGATTATCGATCTAATTTTAAGTAATCGATACAGACTGAAGAACTTTGTGATGCCATATCACACATTCCTTAAACTCTTCGTATCCAACGTCGTTCGTCATAACACCATCTTTCGTAATTGTATTATTTTCTGCTGTTTTCTGTACTTGCGATCTGTATGTGTTTATAATTAAAATCTAAGTAAGTGGACAGTGAGAAATGAATTGTGTCACTCTACGACACAATGACGATTGTGCAGTAAGTGGCACGTTTCTTCTACTGATTTTACTCATGAATTCATTACCATGTTAGGTAATCCATTTTTTATACAATCTGTTATATTTACCCACACACTGCAAACAATCCACAAGTGTGATAAGTGATAATAATGTGTAAAGAATCAACTGAGACTATTATGACCACGATAACAAGCGCAGAGCAAGACAAATGAACATAGACGCCATAATAATGTTCGAAAACGTCCAAAGTCAGGTAATTGACTTTAAATATATGCTGTCGGGGTCGGGTTTCGTTTAGTGGTGAAACAAAATCCAGAAGTGGATTATAAAAGGGAAGGGAGAAAAATATTATAAGACATGTCAATAGCGTTCCTGAAAGAAATATTTTTAATCGATCTGTTTTAATGAATAATTATTTTTTAAACGTATATTAAAGGTTGCAGTATAAATACTTACTTCTATATATATTCGCAAGTGTTATACCATATCCGGTGAATTTGTTTAGCATGTACAATTCGTTTTTTGCTTCTAATAATTTCCAGTGCTCTGCTACCGAGTCGAATATTTTTCTAAACTACAATATATTCGATTATTACGACTTTGCGTGTGCGAAGAAATTCTTTATAATGCACGTATATGTACCTGGGTTTTATTAGAACGGATGTTTAAAATCTTTATTATGCTGACCATTCCTGTCACTAAATGCGGTATATTCTGGATGATACAATCTAAGTCCTTCTTTAGTATGTCACCATATAGCTGCAAAGACTGTCGAATCACGAGTTTAATTATTTTTATTCTATGCTTCGATTAATAATAGTGGTCACAAAAGAACAATGTCACATGCTTCCTTTACCGATGGAATAACCATTGAAATGATATACAACACCATCGTGATTACTATGATATTACTCATTCTATCACTCTGATACGGGTTTATCCCACATATTGTTAAATATTGTTTAAGTGTTCTGTATTGGGTAATGTTTAATGCATTGTAATCTCGCTTGTTGTTTTCCTGAAACACTGAACATTGATCATTGAAGAAGGAAAGTTGTCACTCGAGTTCATCAATCAATCGAGGATGACTGATATTGGTTAAGCTCGATATTGTAGACAATTATATATTTGTAGAAATGGTAAACTAGAAACGCTCGTTTATTAGGGTAGTCTGTCCTCTCCTGGAACTTAGTATCTGGCTGCCAGATGGGACACAAGAGGTCGGGGCCATACCCTCGGCATAAACCGAGGGTGACTTGGCCGCGGTCACCTCTCGGGAAGGGTCCTCGCGAGGGTGACCCTTCGGAGGGGCTAACTCGAAGGGAGGAGTCTCCTCCACCCTTGACCTTGAGGTAAAGGGAGTTTCTTCTCCTTCAGGGAGGCGCTTGTCTTTTGGACGGGCTTTAAAAGTAGGGGCTAACTCGAAGGGAGGAGTCTCCTCCACCCTTGACCTTGAGGTAAAGGGAGTTTCTTCTTCTTCAGGGAGGCGCTTGTCTTTTGGACGGGCTTTAAAAGGCCCATTCAGGAAGACACGAGGATAGTCATAGTCAGAGCGACAGTTATAGTTAGATCGTCATAGTGATAGTCCTAGTCAGAGCGATAGTCATAGTTAGAGTTACAGTTACGAGTAGAGTCAGAGTCAGCGAGAGTCAGTTTGTAAACAGCTCATCGAGTAATAAACGATACTGTTATTGTTAATCTAAAACAACGTTTTCGTACTTTTCGTGTCCAACTTGCCAATTTCTCCACAACGATTCGGTAAATTTTTACATATTATAGGCAATAAGAAATGTTTTAAGTCATTTTTCTCTTACTAGTCAGACTTTCGAGTTCCCGAAACGGCGGTGTTTTATCTAATAGAATCAACGCAGCACAAACCTGTTCGGAATACTATGACTATTCTGATGAATCTATGAATGTTGTTCTATATAGACTGAGAGAATGTGGACGTGGATGTAAAGTCAATTCAATAAATGCACTTACATTTGAAGTCGATGTCAGCGTCAAAGTGTAATTTTCATTACTAAGTATATCTTTGAATCATTTAGCTAACCGTTATTTGTTCCAGTATAATCTTCTAAATCCAATATCAGTCATTAACTGGATCGTAGATAAGAAAATAATAGCTTAGTGGTTGTTAGAACGTCCGTGAATTGCGCTGGAAATCGAAGTTTTGCAATTATCCTGAAACATTGACCGTATTCGTTATATTTAATACAACGTCAGTTGAAAATGCAGTAGAAATATTGCACGAAGATGCAGTATTAACCAAGTATTTATTGAAATCTTTAAAATTTCTATTATCTTTACAACTAAATCAAAGGAGCGTACCAGTATGCTTTTGGGAGACGAAGATATGTGGTATTACACGTATCATGTTCATTATCAATTATTTAAGTCACTATTATATTAAATATTCAAGAAACAGACCCTTGTGGAATACTTCTAGAAATTTGGAAGGAAAGGAACACCAAGCAGTAAACATGATAAGGAAGAGGAAAATATCGTAAACAGTTACATATATTAATGAAGTGTATGAACCAAGTTCAAGTTATTTTCTGTGCTAGTTCTATGAAATTGGTTTGTCAGTGACCAAGTTGGTATTTCTTGTTGTTTCCTGGATTCTGTATTTGTTATTTATAGATTGTATTAGACAAAACAATTATAACAGTTGCTAACACGTATGAGAACGTTCAGCAATTGTTATAACGTTTGTGTTACGTGCTGAAAATTGAATTTCTATTATTATTGTGAAATGTTAATACATCGATTGTAATATGGTATACTCGCTAACATCTGGTGGTGTACGAAACAGGTGGTGGGAACTAATCAATCAAGTCTTCTTGAAAGATCACCCAGGTTCCGTTCACAGTGTTGTCATTGGAATAAGTCAGTCGGTTCAATATGATAATATCATCGGTGAAAAATGGGCTACAAAATCGTAAAAAAATGTTTATACCATTTACATAATCCGCTTGACGTTAGTATTGATTTATTTCGCTTTGCTCGAGTCGCGGGACCTAAATTTTGTATGTGATAATATTCAACGAAGAATATCTTATTATTTTGGTAAAGTTTATAATTTACGCGTTAAAATATTAATATTTGTTGATTGTTATCATTTAATAATTTTATTTGTATGTTTCATAAATTGTCATTTAAACTATTTAACACTAGCTGTTACTCATGGCTAATTATCCCGTTGTTCGTATCCTTAATTTCTCCAGGTACAAAATATAATATAAGTAGTTACACACTTTCACGCTTTAGTGACGCATTATGATTACTTCAGGGACATTATCACAGTGAAATACGACATACACGTTTTGAAAGTCTTAAAATGAAAATGGATATAAATAATAACTAATATAATATAAATAACTGTAATAGCTCTGTATCGTTACATACTACTCCGAAGTTTTCCATATTCATTTCGTATAATCCGCCTGCTGTTAATGTGCATGGTCTTTTACTCCTTATTTGCATCAAGAAAATCATTTTTTGAATTTTCACCGGTGTTTTATACCAAGTAGAAAAATATCTGTTGGAATATCGACAAGTTATTAGATTGGTGCTTACAGCTATTAACCCTTTCACGAGTAAGAGCTTTTTGTTCTTGGAAATACAGACAAGTGCAGAATAAGCTTTCTGTGATAACATAGAAAGAGAGATATGAGAAGTAATTTATATGTTGTTATTTTTATTTTTTGACAAAAGCTCTGTCTACCTCGATAGCGCATGTTACTCGGTTGGGCACCAAATTTTTGGCTGTACATGTATGGTTGTATTCGGGAAAGGGTTAATATTATTTGCGTTTTATATGTCCATATTGAATACATACAAATTATTTGCCAGTTGAATACAGTGATCCAGAAGCACCTGTCCAGGAAGGCTGAGTACAAATAGATGGAATTGATTGGCACCGCAAAATACTGCGCTTCTAAAGGCTTCATCCGGCCTATTTAAATTTACGACTGCCTGGAAAATTGGATCTTTTAATTTGTGCTAGCTTTCATTTACTAAATTCTTTTTACTTGTACAGCCGTTGCGCTTATAGCCAGCATATTTAATCCAACTTGAGCCAAATAACTATATCGACTGCTTTGATTTAAGATATTGTAAAACCTTAAAATACAACAAAGAACAACATATTATTCGTACCTAATAATCATTTTATAATTTATTATGGTGTGCTGATCGGGAAATCCGCAAGTTGTATATTTTTTAGGTAGAAAGAAAAATTGAGGATCGGCGAATAAAATTTTTTTACTAATACAGTGTTTATTAATGAAAGAGGTCATTAATGAAAAATATGAAAAATTTTCTAAAAAGTGACTCGTGTAACTAAAAGATGGTTAAACGAAAGCAAAATAACAGTATATATATTCCGTGGCACATCTCTGAGATAATATTAATTGCTTTTAAATTTTCCGTAAATTTCATTATGAGTTTTCCGAATAATCTAACTTTTAGTGCTTTATTAATGAATACTAACTGAATGGCTTCATCGTGCATCATCACGCAATTTTTGAACTGTTCATACGTGTATCTCAATGAAATAGCTTCATTGGAACTTTTCGCAGCTTTTTGAACTTGTTGGCTATATTTAAAACAAAAATTAAGGAATATGACTATCGTGTTTATTAGTATATTCAAGAAGTATATAGCTTGTAATATAACTGTATAATAGTCTTCGCGTCATGGTATTTACCCACACACTGCAAACAAGCCACTGCTATGATGAATTATAAGAATGAACAACCAATCTGCGGCAATTATAGTATTTACGACGATAATTGATCCCCATGCTAACTGAAAATACACGTAAAAAAAGTAGTCTTCGTCGTTAAAAAACAAGTAATTAACTTTAAGTAATTGTTGTCGAGGTCGAGTTTGATTTAGTGGATGAATGATATCCAGAATAGGAGAAAATAATGGTACAAATAAGAACAATACCAGGGCAGTCAATAAAGAATCTGAAAGATATATATTTACGTGCAAAATATTAAAGGATTAAAATTTGTACATAAAAGTAGTCTAATTAAATTAAAATACGATAACTTACTTCGATATAATTGCGCCATTTTGCTACCCTGTGTAATGATTTCTTCTAGAATGTGTAATTCATTGCTTGACTTTAATTGCTCCCACTCTTTTGTCACAAATACAAATAATTTGCTAAACTAAAACAATATGTTCTTAGAATTTTGTATATTCGAGAACTTTTTCTATGATAATTAATTATCACATGTACATACATTTTCTCTGTTGTAATGGATATTTATAATTTTTACGACACTGATCGTTGCTGCTATAAAGTGTGGCAAACACTCGATAAATCCATCCATATCGTTGTTACAAAGTGACGTATACAGTTCTATTGACTAATGAATTCCAGGTCCCAATTGTTTAACAACATTACCTGATTATTTACTTTTTTACGGGAAATTCACTCAATTTCAGTCTCCTCATTCAAGCTACAGTATTTTTCTATCAAACAAGTAATATATTTTCCTTACCGTTGGAACCATATTGCCAGTAATACTAATCACCACTATAATTACAATAATATGTCTAAATTCATTTGTTTGTTGTGGATCTTGTCCTAAAAGTTGCAAATATTTCTTGGCCATTTTATAGTAAAGAATGTCAAATATATCGCGATCGTGCGTTCTCTGTTTCTGAAATACTGAAAGCCCTATGCTCAGATTAATATCATTGAAATATTGTTTATCTTGAAACCAATTTAGATATACTTAAGACAATTAATTATATTCAATGTGACAAAATATTATTATTAATTAACAAAGAACTACGTATTTTAATCATGATATATATCGCTCTCCTTTCTCTTACGTTTCATTTTTTCGATCTTCAACACGATGATGTTCTGACTATCACAAGATATCGTTTGTGATAAAACTATCGTGCTGTATGTATGCCAGTTATTCGTGCTGCAGTCGAGAAAACCGATTAAGCGAAAGCAGTTATACTCGATAATTGCCACTGGAGAAAATATATAATTTCGATCTTCAATCTTTGAATTGTTGACTTCACGGCCAACTGAGAATTGTAAGACAGTGTGACAGTGTAATTGTAAAAGTACAAGTAAGAGTCGTCAATTGTCACGGCTATAATTGTACTATTCATAAGAAAATAGTGGTTCAGTGGTTGCTATTACGTATGTCTAATATGTTGAATATCGAACATCTGTTATTAACTTAAAACATTAATGCACTGTTTGTAATGTGGAGTTTATTGTGCAAATCAAGTATACCGACAATTTTCAAGTAACTGTCCATCGAAATCCTTCGAATTATTTAAGAAATATCATTCTATCGTTAGTAGAGTAGCTCAGTAATAATTATTCTTTCAACTTTTAGCAAGGGTTTCTTCTTACATTACACGGTAGATGCTCGTTATACCATTTGTTCACTATAACGTGCAAAAGCTTGTAAATACAAATTTTCTTTGTTACGGCATTCAATGAATTCAGTGAAATGACAATCAGGTAAGGTGTGTAATATTATTTAGATGTTAAAATATTAAAATCGAACAACAAACATAGTTTAATAACTTTATTTGCACGTTCGTTAATGCAAATTCAATATTATTATTATATATTCAGTACTTATCGTACTAATCGCTTTCTGAATAAATTCGATTATAGAATGTTATGGATATATAAACAATTTCAATTACTTTAGAGACATTATCATAGTGAAATATGACATACACATCCTGAACGTCTTAAAATTAAATTAACAATAAATAGCAGTTAAAACTATAATATAATAATCATATCTTTATAGGGATACATACATTCCCAAAGTTTTCCATATTCATTTCGTAAAATCCAGCAGCCGTTAATGTACATGGCTTTTGACTCCGTATTTGCATCATGTAAAGCATTTTTTGAGTTTTCACTGGTATTCTGTACCACGTGGAGGAATATCTGATGGAAGACCAGTAAAAAATTACATTCAGATCTATGTTTCTTAAGATTATATGCGTTTTATACAAGTACACTGAACACATGCATATTATTTGCTAGCTCTGCACAATGATCCAGGAGTACTTGTCCAGGTAGGCTGAGTATAAACAAATGAAACTGATCAGCTCCACAAAATAGAGCAAATCGTAAAGCTTCACCCGGTCTATCCAAATTTGTGACAGCCTGAAAGAATAGTATTGACTAAATTAACGTTGCTTTAATTCATATCTGTTTTCATTAAATATCTTGTAAAAATCTTTACCTGAACAGCTGTGGCACTTATTCCAATCATGTTCAATCCAACTTGAATCAAATAGCTAATCCGACTACTCTCGTTTAGGATATCGTAAAACCTTAAAACGTAATGAAACTACAAATTAATCGCGTTCAATAATTGTTTTATAGTTCGATACACTATATTATTATTTTATGAATACAGACTGGATGGCTTCGTCGTGCATGATAATGCAATTTCTTAATTGTTCATACCCATAACTACCCGAAATATTTTCGTTTGCCTGTAGGTTTGACTTCTTCGTTGCCTTCTGGGTTTGATGTCTGTATTCGAGAATTAAGCGAGGCGACCATAAAATTTATTACCACGTATAAAAAAGAGAAAAGAAGAAAAATGATATCATTAGTTGTGTAATTAGTATTTACCCGCATACTGCAAATAATCCGCTGCTGTAGTGTATTATAAGAATATACAATGAATCTATAGTAACTATCGTCACCACACTTATCATTGCCCCCCAAGCTAATTGCAAATATACATAATAGAAGTATTTCTCATCGTCAAAGAAAATGTATTTAACTCTCAGTAATTGTTGGCGCGGTCGAGTTTCATTTAGTGGAAAAACAAAATCTAAAATTGGAGAAACAAGTGGAACTAGCAAGAACAGGCCCATGAAAGATAATAAGGTATCTAAAAAGATTACAGTCAATCATTTACTTGAAAGGTAATAATATATTTTTATAATAATAATAATAATATTTTAATAATATTATTTATTGTAGAAATTACTATATGATGACTTACGTCGGTATATTTGTGCCATTTTGCTGCCCTGCATAGTAATTTCTTCCAAAAGATGTAGTTCATTCTTTGACTTCAGCTGCTCCCACTGTGTTATCATGAGCTTATATAATTTATCAAACTATAATGTAATATATTTTTATGTTTCTTATGTCTGTTACTTCTTTGGATAATAATAAGTTTAATAAGTAAGTTACGTACATTTTGCGTATGAAAGTGGACGTTTAATATTTTAACAATACTGATGACAGTCGCGATTAAATGCGGTAGACACTCGATCACTGCGTCCAAATTTTTGATGGATATTGACTCATATACTTCTAATAACTAATGAGTTGCAGATCTTAATATTTTTTCAATAATATTCCCGGGTTATTTACTTTATTACGTGGAATTCCCTCGATTCAGTTTTCTTATTTTATTAATAGCATCTTTCTATAAAGTGATTAATATGTTTTTCTTACCGTTGGTACAAGAATGCCAGCAATACTAATCACCATTATAGTTACAATAATGTTTCGGAATCTATGTGGTTGTCGCGGATCTTGTCCCAGAAATTGCAAGTATTTTTTGAACATTTTGTAGTAAGAGATGTCAAAGATATCGTGATTCTGCGCTCTGTGTTCCTGAAATACTAAAGGCCCTATGTTCGGATTAATATCACTGATATATTTGTCACTTTAATTTATCTATATATTATATTTAATGCAACGAAATAATGTTATTAGTTAACACAGATCTACATATTTTAATCGTAGTATATATCCTTTCCCTTACGTTTCATTTTCTTGGCCTTCGGTATAGTGATTTCTGCCTAGTACAACTAATGTATGACATATCGTTTAGTATACCGAATATACGACAGATATTCTTTTTAAAATTGGGGAAAAACAGTCTAACGAATGCAGTTATATTTGAAAATTGCGATTGGTGGAAGTATATAATCTTGATTTTCAAGAATGACTTTGAATTGTTAGCCATTCAGACGACTACGTATTACGGTATAATTTTTGAGCTATAATAATAAACGATAACAATTGTCGTATTCATAAGAAAATGTGTATTGAATATCGATCAACTCTTATTAGCTTGAAATATAAATGCACAGCTTGCCACATGCTTTTTGTTAAAAAGTCGATAGTGGATGGAAGATATCCGAGTAAGTGAACAATAAAAATATTTTGAATTCGTAACTTAATCAAGTCTTTGCTTCCATTCTTTTGCAGTAAAAGTAATTTGATTCGGTTCTAACTAGAGTTTCTTTACCAGAATTAAAAAATATACGTGTAATTATATTATTTGTGAGACGTATGTTATACAACTTTACTAAAATAACGAGATTATTTATTTATTATTTAATTTGGCTCTATTTCGTCTTGCTGAAGGTAATAAAAGTTCAATTTATTATTATATAATTCGTTGGATTACATGTTGACTTATTGTTTTCGCAAGGTTTGCAATAATAATATACAATAAAATATTGTCCGAAATATGTGCTTTAATCATTTTATTTGAACGTTTGATAAAGTAATTTAAACTATTCAACGTTAACAATACGGGTCGTCTATTTATGTACTATCTGTATCGATAATTGCTCCAGTTTCAAAATGCAATAGACATGACCAAAACATTTTCGACAGGCTTTGCAGTATTATTATTTTAGCGACAGTAGCATGGTGAAGTATGACATGCATGTTTTGAATGTCTTAAAATAAAAATGATTGTAAATAATAGTTAACATGCAATTTATACATAATCCGCATAACTATGATAAAACTATATCGTTACATACTATTCCGAAATTTTCCATATTCATTTCGTACAATCCACCTGCAGTCAATGTACATGGCTTTTTACTCCTTATTTGTATCACGTAAATCATTTTTTGTACTCGCACTGACATCCTATACCATCTGGAAGTATATCTAATGGAAAATCAATAAAATTAGTCGAATATTACTTTTACATTTTATATATCATTTACGTACATAGTATCTGACAGCTGAGTGCAATGATCCAAAAGTACCTGTCCAGGTAGACTGAGAACGAATAAATGGAATTGATTGGCCCCACAGAAAACGGCACTTCTAAGAGCTTCTTCCGGTCTATCTAAATTTGTGACAGTCTAAAAGATGAAATTACTCATTAAGCTAAACATTTTTTAATTCGACTGTTTATTTACTAGATTATCTTTACTTGAACGGCTGTCACGCTTGTGCCGATCATAGTCAACCCAACTTGAATCAAATAACTAATTCGACTGCATTCATTTAGGATATCGTAAAACCTCAAAATGTAACGAAACAATAAATTAGACGTGCCAAATAACCATTTGATAATTAATTATACTTTATCGTTATCTGATGAATACGAACTGGATGGCTTCATTGTGCATAATCACGCAATGTTTGAACTGATCATACATGTAACTCTCTGAGGTAGCTGAACTATCGAATATGTTCAAATCTTTTGTTGCTTTTTGTACCTGATACCTACATTTATAACAATATATAACAACGTGGCACGATTGTATCGTATACGGATATAAATGAGAAGAATACAGAAGGATAAAATCGTGATACTTACCCACAGACCGCAAACAATCCACTGTTATGGTGAATTATAAGGATTAATAACGAATCTGCGGCAACCACGGTCAACACAACAATGATCGATCCCCAAGCTAATTGCAAATATACGAAAAAGAAGTGGTATTCATCGTTAAAGAAAATGTAGTTAACTCTTAGTAATTGTTGACGCGGTCGAGTTTCATTCAGTGGAAGAATGATATCCATAGTTGGAGAAATTAGTGGAACGAGCAAGAATAGTACCATAAATGACAGTAAAGTTTCTAAAAGTAATAAAGTTGGACACTTACGTATATAATGCTAGAAAAATAACTCCTTTTACTATTGTAAAAACCGTTAGCTGAAAAAGTTAGACCATTGTGACTTACTTCGGTATAGATGCGCCATTTTGTTGCCTTCTATCACGGTCGCTTCTAAAACGTGCAATTCATTTTTCTCTTTTAACTGCTCCCATTCTTTTGCCATGAATTGAAATATGTTATTAAACTATAACATAACACGTTTTATGTGAGAACTTTCTTCGTGAGAATTTTTTTCAATAGAAAGAAATTGACATACGCTTTCTCTGTGGAAATGGAGATTCAATATCTTAACGGTACTGATAGCAGACGCAATAAAATGTGGCATACACTCTATTATTGCATCCATATCCTTGCGACATAATGATGCATATAGTTCTAATGTCTAATGAATTACAAGTTGCAATTTTTTATTACCATTACCTAGTTACTTGTTTCATTACGTGCGATTTCTTTAGATTAAGTTTTCTCGTTTTATTTATAACACTTTCCTATGTACAGATTAGTATGTTTTTCTTACCGTTGGAATAAGTACTCCCGCCATACTGATCACAACTACAACTACAATAATATTTCTCAACCCAGATTTCTGATGTGGATCTTGTCCCAAAAATTGCAAATATGTTTTAAGCATTCTATAGTAGGGAATGTTATATATATCGTAATCTTGTCCTCCGTTTTTCTGAAATGCTAAATGTCTTGGGCTTAAACTAATTTTCCAATCATATTACTTCTCATTCAATTTTCTTAAATATTACTCGACTATATCTAACGCGATGTTAATATTATTAGTTAAAGAAAAGCTAGATATTCTTTTATCATGTTATATATTGCAGCTTTATATCTTACTCTCCATGTTGGCAAATTTTCAAAACGGTGTCGATCTAACTAGTGCAACTAGCGTAGAAGAAATCGTTTGTGATAAAATTGTCGTGATGATTGTACAAAAATTATCCTTTTTAAAGGCGCAAAAATCAATCTGGAGAATGCAGTTGTACTCAACAGTCGATATTACTACAAGTATCTTTGGTTATTAAGGTGTAAATCGTCCGACTATCGGACAGGTATGCATTAAGCGTAATTTTCAAAGCAGAACAGCGAATTATTGCATCGAAAGTAGAAAATAACCGTTTGGCGGTTTCTATGCTGAAAATCGAAGACATATAAATGTCCTGAGATATTGATTTCACCCATTGCAGTGTGGCATTCATTACCTCTTCAGAAGTACAACTGATTGGTGAAATCTTTGAAATACTTAAAAATGGATATGTCTGCGATCGCAAAGTACAGTAATAACATGTATTCCTCCGACTGTGACTTGAAGATCCTTTTTCAACAAAGCCTAAATCAGTAAACAAAACTGCTGTTTGTCAGATATGAATGTTGTGACTTTAGAAAATAGATACCAATCGCTGGTATCATCGCTCAATCTGCTAGAGTTATTTTATTTCGCTTTATTGAAAACGGTAAATATAAATATATAAATGTATAAAGCTCTGATTGTGGTCAATAAACTCATTGCACTGGTGGCCCACTTATGATTTTGGTAAAGACTATGGTGATAGAAGATTTGGTTAAATAAGTTTATTTGCATGTTCATGTCATTTCAATTATTTCATATTAACAGTGTACGAATGGTTATATATTTTATTATTCATATTCTTAGTAAATCTTACAATAAAATTGAATGAATGTGACTAAATTCGTTCCATTCACGGTGAAAAATTATTTTCTCAAATTTCTTATTTACAAGTACTATATGTTGTGAATGTGGTGCTGCTTTTCATTTGATATAGTACCGACAAAATGTGAAACCTCTTAGTATTTGTGCATGTCCGATTAATTATCACAATAAGTCATACTTCATCGACATATGTTATGTTTAGAATATCATTTTGTTTCTTCTTTAAATTTTTCAATTAAATAAATTCTTTATGTTTTACGATAAAGATCACGTATTATCAAGTATTTAATCAACTATCGTAAAAGAAAAAGCACACGACGCGACGACTTAACACGTTAAAGTAATTAATAAATAAAAAATTTGATCTATACGATATGAACGATGAATGCAGCCTTATCGTGTGATTTGTCGATCCAGTTACAGAGCACGGTAATAGTGATTAAGTATGTTCAAGCGACGCTGTAGAATTATTGCTCCACCGACAATAACATCGTGCAATATGATATGCAGGCTTTAAAAGTCTTAAAATTAAAGTAAATTGATTATTTATAGCTTTTACTAAAATCGCGCAAATTTAATACATTTCTTACATACGGATCTGAAACTTTCAAGGTTTACTTTGTATATTCCACCAGCCGTGAGTATACACGGTTTACTAGACCTTATTTGCATTATGTGAATCATGCGTTGAGTTTTCTTTGAACATCGATACCACTCTGAGTCGTATCTATCACAAAAAGTAAAAAAATATTGTGTTTGAATCTGCTACTGTTTTAATTACTATTAATTAATCGACGGTATATTTCTTATACCCTCAATGTACATATATACATGTTAATAAACATACATCTGATTTTCTAGTTCTGAAGAGTGGTTTTGAAGCAACTGGCCACAAGCACTGGTAACAAATAAAATAATTTGATCACTCATGAAAAATAAAGCACTTCTAATTACATTCTCCGGATGACTCAAGTTTATAACTGTCTGAAAAATAGGGCCATTAATATTCTCGAATCTTATGTGATTTAATAATATTACCAGACATAATTATATTTTCCTTCGTTTGCGAAGCTATTCTTACTTGATAAGCTGTTACGCTAATACCCACGACAATTAGGCTAATTTGGATAAAGTATAAATTTTCACTGGTTTCTCTTAGAATATCGAAAAATCTTGAAATTCAATAAAAAATCAAATTAGATATTTATCAACATTTCTTACGTGTTATATTTAATTATTATTTTATTGCTACAAACTGAAGGGCTTCATTGTATGTAATTGCAGATCGTTTAACCTGATCGTACACATTTTTATCCGAAAAAGGGTCATGCTCAATGGAGCTTGAATCCAGTGCTTTCTTGATTTGATATCTGTATAATAAAATAGCACATTGTTATATCTCTTATTTCCTTATTAACTTATGAAATAATAGATGACGAATTAATTTGTCTAAAAGTAGACTGCGTTGAGAGTTTATTAACATGACTGATATTTACCCAGTTAAGGCAAATAAACTGCTACTATGATGAATGATAATGATGTACAATGAATCAGTGCCAAGTATACTCAATGAGAAAATACATGTTGCCAAAGTTAGATGTAAATACTCTACATAAAAGTAGTCATCATTGTTGATGATTAAGTAATTTATTTTAAATATTTGCAGACGTACTCGAGTTTCGTTCAGTGGAAGAACGATGTCCAAAATAGGAAATACTAATGGAATTGTTAGAAAAATTACTGCAAATAAGAAGTTTAGGGCTAAAAGAAAAAGGATTAATTTTTTCCAATAATTAATGTAACTGTGACAGGCAAATATTAAAATATTAAATGCTTACATCTATACAGATGCGCCAACATACTTCCTCGAGCAGTCATTTTTTCCAATATATATAATTCGTTAGTCAGCTCTAATTCTTCCCACTTTTTTGCGACAAGATCAAACAACTTTTTAAACTATAACACAATATGTATTCCATAGTTTTATATATATGAAAAGATTTTTTTGCACAACATAAACATACATTTTCTCGATTGTTATGGATATTAAATATTTTTGCCATGGCAATAATTACTCCGGCTAGATGTGCCATACATTCGATCACCACGTTTATATTCTTCTCTTGTAATGATATGTATAATTCGAATATCTATTGAATTACACGTTATTTGAAATTTATTCCAATTCAAAGGACATCAATTCATCGCGTGAATATATTTTCAATTATTTAACCCCATTAATAAGAACGTGAACACTTGTTTTATATGTTTCTCTTACCGTAGGAACGAGTATGCTTGTCAAAGTGATTTGCGTCACGGTCATTAAGATATAGTTATTTCGCTTTTTTTGATATAATTCCACTCCTAAAACTAACATATATGTTCTGATGGTTTTATAATGGGAAATATTATACACACCATTGTACGACTTTTCGTTTTCTATAGATTATACAAAAGAAAAACAAATGATTAGAACAATATATAATATTGAATCACAAAATAACTAATAAATAAGTGAATAAAATTAACTCATCTCTGTGAGATTGTTTCTGTACGAAAATTCAGCTATCGGAAACTAAGAATCGTAGTGAGTTTGAGATGTAAAATTACAGCATTGGTTTTCATAGAATTAAGTCTCAAAGGGTTTGAAGATCGTTCTTTATACATCCAGACTAATGCTGTTATTATCTTAATTGAGTTTAAGACTATGATTACCAAAGCCAAATAGAGTACATTTGAGAAGCTTATAATCAGCAAATAGATGTGCATTATAATATTACCAATTCGACATATCGTGTAACAACTATGTCGTTGATAAATAAATCAATAATTCACAGTATTCTCGGACATGCAACGTATTCAGTAAAAATTGTCTATTCATAAGTACCTGAAATATTCGGTGTATTACCTGTAAAGTGACGTTTTATTCACACATACATAAATTTTCAAGTTATCAATGGTGTAAGTATTTCTAGTTCTTTAAGCATTATACTTGGCATGTCTCTACACGTTATATCAAAAATAATAATGTCGTATGGTATGTTGGCATAGGTAGCCAAAAGTATATCAATTAAAGATGTTACATTACAATGTATGTATAGAATTATGTTTTCTTCATCGTTTACTGCGCTCTTGTATTGACCAAAATTAATTTAAGACAAAATATACTAACAATATGTTCATATTAAACCATTAACTTCAAAAGGGAAATAAGATATATATTCGCTTTATTTATATTTATTTACTGTGGTGTACTATGATAATTACATAATCTAGTTATATATACATATTTTAATTTTTTAACAGTTCTAACAGTTTCTTTGTTATTGAAATTAGAGTGAACTGGACAAAATGATTTCAAGGTGAATAAGTATTTGTTGGAAAATTAATGTAAATATTATATCGAATCGGACAAAAGGAACACAACTGGACAAGTGAAATTGTTGTGCCATGTGGTACATACCAATTCCGAGAGCTTCTTCAGGTTGCTGCAGATATTATTAATGTTTATTCTTTTGTCACTTGCAAGATAATTTTCACTTGTGCAACTGTCACAAATATGCCGATTGCATGCAATAAAACTAGAAGAAATATCTGTACATCGTAAACTTTATTCTATAAAATAGAGTATAATCGTGTTGTTCGTGCTTTTGCGCTATTAAATATTCTTTATTGCCTTTCTTCAAATTTTAAGTAGGATAAACTGTATGGTCATAAGTGTTCTCATAATACTAATCTATTAGGAATAGATTGCTAAATGTTATTTAAATTATTTAGTATTAACAAAAGAAAACCGGTTATTAATCTTATTATCCGCATCTTCGATAGATCTCAAATAGTATTCAACTAATGCAACTAAATCCGGTCGATCCGCAACGTAAAATTATTGTCTCAGGGACAAGATCATAGTGAAGTACGACATGCACGTTTTGAAAGTCTAGAAATGAGTAACAGTTGATGGAAATGGATACGAAAACTAAAATAACTCTATGCTGTAACATACCGTTCCAAAATTTTCCATGTTCATATCATACAATCCGCCTGCAGTTAATGTACATAGCTTCTGGCATCTTATTTGCATCATGTAAATTATTTTCTGGATTTGAACTGGTGTCTTGTACCATGTAGAGCAGTATCTATTCGAATATCAGTAAGAAATTGCACTCGTGTCTACGATTGTTAGTATTATTTACATTTTATATGGATACACTGAACATGTACATAGTATCTGTTAGTTGAGAACAATGATCCAAGAGGACTTGTCCAGGTAAGCTGAGTACAAACAAATGAAATTGGTTGGCACCACAAAATACAGCACATCGAAGAGCTTCCGTTGGTTTATTTAAATTTACAACAGTCTGGAAAATGAAATTGGTTAATTTAAATCTTTCTCAATTTGGATTTTTCATTTATTAAATTGTCATTACTTGGACTGCTGTCACACTTATACCAATCATATTTATTCCAACCTGAATCAAATAACTAATTTGACTGCTTTCGTTTAGAAGAGTGTAAAACCTCAAAATGTAACGAAATAATAAATTAATCGTGGCCAATAATCGTTTGATAACTTATTATACTTTATCCTTATTTAATAGATACAAACTGAATGGCTTGCTTATGCATGATCGCGCACTTTTTGAATTGCTTATACGAACAACTTTTCAACGTATCTCTATTGTTGATTAAGAGCGAATTTTTCGTTGCCTCTTGAATTTGATGTCTGTATACGTGATTAAAATTAAGATAAACCATACATTTAGACATTAAGATATAAATAGCATATCGTTAGTATCAGAATGATATGATTCTTGAAACATCATGATATTTACCCACATACTGCAAATAATCCACCACTATGGTGTATTATAAGGATGTACAACCAATCTGCTGCAATTACGCATACTACAACAATAATTGAGCCAACAGCTAATTGAAGATATACGCAAAAAAAGTAATCTTCATAATTGAAAAAAATATAATTAACTCTTAGCAATTGTTGTCGCGGTCGAGTCTCATTCAATGGGTGAATAACGTCCAAAATAGGGGAGACTAAAGGGACCAGTAAAAAGAATATCATAAAGGATAATAGTGTATCTGAAAAAAATATAATCCATAGGTTAAATGCAAAATATTAGAACCATAAATTCCTTTCGCATAGAAAAGTACACGGATTAAAAAACTGGAATACAAGACTTACTTCGATATAAGTGTGCCATTTTGTTACCTTCTAAAACGATTTCATCCAGAACAGAAAGATCATTTTTTAACTTTAGTTCGTTCCATTCCTTTATCACATATTGGTATAACTTATTAAACTATAACACAACATATTTTACCTTTCAGAATATTCGAAAATTATTTGAAATAATAATAAATACATACATTATCCCTGTGGAAATGAATATTCACTAATTTAACAAAACATGCCGCAGCTGCATTTAAATGGGGCACACACTCGAGGGCTCCGTCCATATTTTTGTTACGTATTGACATAAATAATTCTAATAGCTAACGAATTGCGAACCCACATAGTTTGATGTCCGATTATTTATTTTATTACATAAAACAGATTCCATTTATATTCTTGATTTTATCACTACAACTTTTCTATAAATATTCCTCATCTTCTTCTTACCGTTGGAATCAAAATGCTTGCAACACCAATTATCACTATAATTGCAGTAATATCTTGAAATCCATGATACTTATGTGGACATATTCCCGCAAATTGTAAGTATATTTTGAGTTCTTTATAATATGAGATTTTAAACATTTCGTGATCTTTTCTTCCATTTTTCTGAAATACTAAATGCTACAAAGTTAGATGTTTATACAAATAAGATAAATTAAACGGCAGTGTTGTTAATTGACATAGCTTTAGTTATTTTTATTGTAATATATATCACATTTTTTGTCTTATTACCCATGTCCCCAAATTTTCAAGACGATGCTGCTTTAACTAGTACAACCAATATGAAAGGATATATAAAAGCCACAAGACTATCATATCGAAACATTGCTTTTGTAATCGGGAAAATTAATCATGTGAATGTAATCGTAGTCGAGGGTAATGGTAATATGTAATTTTAATTTTCAAATATGGCTTCAATCATTTACTGACTGGATAGGTATATATTAAAATTGCGACTTTGACTGACAGCTACAATCGTAGATGAGAAAAGACCTATTTTCCAGATGTACTGCCTGCTGTCAGTTGTACAAAAAATCGAAGGTGTATAGTTTTCTTTAAATATAGATATTATAGAATGCCATATGGCATTCGTTATGTAATTGGTAGTAGCCATAACATTACCAACCAACAGTTCATCGAAATATTTCCGATTCTTTAAGAAAAATCAAGCTACCGCTCGCAGTGTACCTCAGTAATAATTATTCTTATGACTCTTAGATATTTTGACGACTATTATTCTTTGAAAATGAAAGGCTGTAAATTAAAATATCGTAATTGTTTATCAAAAAATTTATTCGCTACAGCATGCAGAAGCTTGTAAATTTAAATTTCCTTTGCTGCGGTATTCGATGAATTCAGTGAAATGACAATTGGTTATTAATATTAAGATGTATAATATTATTTAGACATTAAAATATTAACATCGAAGGACAAATACAGTTTAATAACTTTATTTGCACGTTCGGTAATCCAAATTCAACATTATTATTATATATTGACTTATTATTTAGATGTTAAAATATTAAAATCGAACAACAAATATAGTTTAATAACTTTATTTGCACGTTCGTTAATGCAAATTCAATATTATTATTATATATTCAGTACTTATCGTACTAATCACTTTCTGAATAAATTCGATTATAGAATGTTATGGATATATAAACAATTTCAATTACTTTAGAGACATTATCATAGTGAAATATGACATACACATCCTGAACGTCTTAAAATTAAATTAACAATAAATAGCAGTTAAAACTATAATATAATAATCATATCTTTATAGGGATACATACATTCCCAAAGTTTTCCATATTCATTTCGTAAAATCCAGCAGCCGTTAATGTACATGGCTTTTGACTCCGTATTTGCATCATGTAAAGCATTTTTTGAGTTTTCACTGGTATTCTGTACCACGTGGAGGAATATCTGATGGAAGACCAGTAAAAAATTACATTCAGATCTATGTTTCTTAAGATTATATGCGTTTTATACGAGTACACTGAACACATGCATATTATTTGCTAGCTCTGCACAATGATCCAGGAGTACTTGTCCAGGTAGGCTGAGTATAAACAAATGAAACTGATCAGCTCCACAAAATAGAGCAAATCGTAAAGCTTCCCCCGGTCTATCCAAATTTGTGACAGCCTGAAAGAATAGTATTGACTAAATTAACGTTGCTTTAATTCATATCTGTTTTCATTAAATATCTTGTAAAAATCTTTACCTGAACAGCTGTGGCACTTATTCCAATCATGTTCAATCCAACTTGAATCAAATAGCTAATCCGACTACTCTCGTTTAGGATATCGTAAAACCTTAAAACGTAATGAAACTACAAATTAATCGCGTTCAATAATTGTTTTATAGTTCGATACACTATATTATTATTTTATGAATACAGACTGGATGGCTTCGTCGTGCATGATAATGCAATTTCTTAATTGTTCATACCCATAACTACCCGAAATATTTTCGTTTGACTGTAGGTTTGACTTCTTCGTTGCCTTCTGGGTTTGATGTCTGTATTCGAGAATTAAGCGAGGCGACCATAAAATTTATTACCACGTATAAAAAAGAGAAAAGAAGAAAAATGATATCATTAGTTGTGTAATTAGTATTTACCCGCATACTGCAAATAATCCGCTGCTGTAGTGTATTATAAGAATATACAATGAATCTATAGTAACTATCGTCACCACACTTATCATTGCCCCCCAAGCTAATTGCAAATATACATAATAGAAGTATTTCTCATCGTCAAAGAAAATGTATTTAACTCTCAGTAATTGTTGGCGCGGTCGAGTTTCATTTAGTGGAAAAACAAAATCTAAAATTGGAGAAACAAGTGGAACTAGCAAGTACAAGCCCATGAAAGATAATAAGGTATCTAAAAAGATTACAGTCAATCATTTACTTGAAAAATAATAAAACAGCAAATTTTTTTTTCATATGAAAGTATCGCAATATAGAAATGACTATATGATGACTTACTTCGATACATTTGCGCCATTTTGCTGCCCTGTGTAGTGATTTCTTCTAAAACGTGCAATTCATTATTTGCCTTCAGCTGCTCGCACTTCGTTACCACGAGGTCATATAATTTTTTAAACTACAACAAAACGATATTGTGATTTCCATGGTTAAAAATTTCTTTGTATCACAACACTTTCACATACATTTTCTCTATTAAAATGGATATTCAGTATCTTAACAGTACTAGTCAAAGCTGCTCCAAATTGCGGCAGACTCTCGATCACTGCGTCTATATTTTTGTCACACATCGATACGTACAGTCCTAATAACTAATGAATTGTAGGTTCCAATTTTTTAATAATATTCCAAGATTATTTATTTTATTACGTGTAAAACCCGCGTCAGTTTTCTTACTTTATTAATAGTACTTTTTTACGGAATGTTTAATATATTTTCCTTACCGTTGGTACAATAATGCCAGCAAGACTAATCACTATTATAGTTACAACAAAGTTTCTGAATCCGTCTGATTGTCGTGGATCTTGTCCCAGAAATTGCAAATATTTCTTGAGCACGTTATAATCGGGGATATCAAATATATCAAGACGTCGTCTTTCATTTTCCTGAAATACTGAATATCCTATGTTTAGATTAATTTTGTCGAGATATTATTCAATGTTAAACTATCTTAAATATCACACATATATTTGGTATAACATTAAAAGCATTTGTTATCGTTAAATTGTATATTTTTTTTACGATGTATATTGCTTCTGTTGTCCTTACTATGCATGTTCCCAAACTTTTGGAGTGACCACGTTTAGAGATTCGTAACGTTTGTTAGCGTAAATGTTTGCACGAGACTGGTCGACTAAAAGTAAGAAAGTTATTTTTTATAGTCCCATGGAAGTGTTATTTTTATGTTAACCCAGTAATGTGCAGGCATATATTATAACAGTGCTGTCATGTTACTTCAGTTCGTAAGTAGTAAGTAAAAATTATTTGATTGCCGTTAAGAGCATATGCAGCATTTCGAAATTCATTATTTATGTAGCAGCTGCGTTGTACATATAAATGACCATCTATGATTCAAATATACATCAATTACAGTTATAATGGTAAATCTATGGTTATTTTGAAGTATATGCTTTTTCGTACCAATCCGTTGTACGTTGAAAAATTTACAGATAGACAAGGAATGATCTATGACGATTCTGAATTTGTAAAATGAGTATCTACAGAGTGACAATAACGACTGCAAAGAATCAGAATACCTTTTCAAATTTCTTATTTGCTAGTGTTATATTTCATGAAAGTGATGTTGCTATTCTTATGGTGGATTACCGGCAAATAGGGAAATCTTGAAGTATTTGTGCGTGTTTAATTAATTATCTTAACAAACCTTACTTCATCAACTTATTTTATGTTTATATTTGGAATATCATTTTGTTCCTACTTTAAATATGATTTAGTACAAAGCTACTTGTATCATGTAGTATTACAATAACTATTGTAAAAATAAGCATGTGATGTGATTTAATTTGCTAAAGTAATTTATAAATAATAAATTTCATCTATACGATATGAACGATCAATGCAGCCTTATCGTGTGATTTGTCGATCCAGTTACAGAGCACGGTAATAGTGATTAAGTATGTTCAAGCGACGCTGTAGAATTATTGCTCCACCGACAATAACATCGTGCAATATGACATGCACGTTTTAAAAGTCTTAAAATTAAAGTAAATTGATTATTTATAGCTTTTACTAAAATCGCGCAAATTTAATACATTTCTTACATACGGATCTGAAACTTTCAAGGTTTACTTTGTATATTCCACCAGCCGTGAGTATACACGGTTTACTAGACCTTATTTGCATTATGTGAATCATGCGTTGAGTTTTCTTTGAACATCGATACCACTCTGAGTCGTATCTATCACAAAAAGTAAAAAAATATTGTGTTTGAATCTGCTACTGTTTTAATTACTATTAATTAATCGACGGTATATTTCTAATTCCCTTAATGTGCATGTATATGTATTAATAAACATACATTTGCTTCTCTAGCTCCGATGAGTGATTTAAGAGTATCTGACCCACTAAACTGATAAAAAGTAAATGCAATTGTTCAGATATAAAGATTAAAATACATTTAATCATTTCTTGTGGTTGATCCATGTTTATGACTGTCTGAAAAATAAGGCCTGTTGTGATTTCATAATGTTACCAGACATAATTATACGTTTCTTCATTTCGGGAACTATCCTTACTTGAAAAGCTGACACGCTAGTGCCCACCATACTTAGGCTAATCTGGATAATGTATAAACTTTCACTGATTTCTCTTAGGATATCGTAAAATCTTGAAATGAAATACAAAAAAAATTAGTTATTTATCAACATTCCTGGCGTGTTATGTTTTACTATTATTTTATTGTTACAAACTGAATGGCTTCATTGTACGTAATTGCAGATCGTTTAACTTGCTCGTACACATATTTATCCGAAAAGGATTTTTGTACAGTTAAGTTAGTATCCATTGCTTTCTTGATTTGATGTCTGTGTAGAAAAATATAACGTTATCGTATCTCTTATTTCTTTACTAACTTATAAAATAAAGGTGCATTAATTAATTTCTCTATAACTAATGTACGTTTAGTGTTTGGTAATATTTACCCAGTTAAATCAAATAGACCGCTACTATGATGAATAATCATGATGTACAATGAATCGACCCCAAATATAGTCAACAGAAGAACAATTGTGCCACAAGTTAAATGTAAATACTCGACATAAAAATATTCATCATTGTCGATGATTAAGTAATTTATTTTAAATATTTGTAGGCGTGCTCGTGTTTCGTTCAGCGGTAAAACGATATCCAAAACAGGAAAGATTAGCGGTATTGTCAGGTAAATTATCATACAAATGGTCAAAATTACTAAAAGAATCGTAATTGATTTTCTTACAGTTTCATCAAGCCGTGTGAAAGATTAACATTAAAACATTAAATACCTACATCTATAAAAACTCGAGAACTTACTCCCTTGTGCAGCGATTCTTTGTAATACGTGTAATTCATGATTCAGCTTTAATTCTGCCCACTTTCTTGCTATAAGATCAAGCAACTTTCTAAACTATAACATAGTATGTTTTTTACAAGTTTATATGTACGACAAGTTTTTCTTTTCTTGGATCATTAGCTTACATTTTCTCGGTTGTAATGGATATGTAGCATTTTATTCCAAACACCAAATATTCCTGCCACATTTATCATACATTCGATCACTGCGTTTGTATTCTTCTTTTGTATCGATATGTATAATTCGAATACCTATCGAATTACACGTTATTTGAGATTTATTCCGATTCAAAGGAATCGATTCATCAAATGATAACGTTTCCAATTATTTCACCCTATTAATATGGATATTGTAGAGTCACACACTCTCTACTCGCTGGAGAGTACCTTGGAATACTCAGATTCACTGCAGTCTGTATTTTCGATTCGACTCCCAATAACGCGTAACTCTCGCAATCACAATGCTCGATCTTGACTCTCTCTAAGACTATCTTAATTCTCTAATGACTATCTCAAAAACCCCGATCTATCTTCCAGAGCGGGCCCTTTTAGGCCCGTCTGGAAGGCAAGGACCTCCCCCGAAGGAGGAGAAAGCTCCCTCCACGTAACGCTTTGGGGTGGAAGGGATTCCTCCTTCAGGTTAGACTCTCCGAAGGGTCACCCACGCGGGGACCCTTCCCGAGAGGTGCCCACGGACGCGTCATCCCCAGTTTACAATGGGAAAAACCGGGGTTGAGCGAGGCTACCTCACGTGACCTGGCCCCAACTTCCCAAGACTCGTCTGACCGTCAGACGCTAACGGGACCTCTATACCTGTCGACGTCTCAAAATATCCTACAATATGAATATTTGCTTTATATGTGTCTCTTACCGTAGGAACGAACATGGTTAGCATTATGATTTGCATCACGATCATTAAGATATAGCTATTTATACTTTCGTTATATGGTTCCAAGCCAACAAATAATAAATATTTTTTGGCAGTTTTATAATGGAAAATATTATACTTCTCATTGAACGAATTTTTACTTTTCTGCAGCACTATAGATTACACAAAACAAAAGGAAATTATTAGATAAATGTATAATATTCAATCAATTCAACTAATAAATAAATGAATAAAAATTACTGATATTTGCTGGATACGAAAATTCAGGAAACTAAGAATTGTAGCAAGTGCGAGACGTGTAACAATAGTACTGTTTTTCATAGAACTAATTCTCCAACAGTATGAAGACCATTCTTTATAGAACCACACTAAAATTAATATTAACTTAACTCAGTTGAAGAATATACTAAGTTACGTACATTTAGATTATAATCAGGAAACAGATGTGCATTATAAGATTTTCAAATTGCCATGTCATATAACAACTATGTGTAGTAGACAAATAAGTGAGTGATTCAAATTATTGGCCAATAACATCATTCAGTGAAAATTGTGTATCCATAAGTATCTTGAAATATTTAGTGTAATAGCTGTAACGTGACATCCGATGAGCTATATCAAGTAGAACAAATTTTCCAGTAATCGATACTAGAGATTTTCTAGCATATCATAGAATATCATACGTGGCAAGTCTCTATACGTCATTTGGAAAATAACAAGTCGTGCAACGAGTAAGGATAGATACCCATCAGAAGTGTCTCAGTCAAGAATGTTGCATTATAATGTATCTGTAACATTTTCATTGCTACTCTTCGGATTGTGGATTGGATTGTTAATTTACAACCAAACCCAGTAGCATTGTATTCACATTTTAGAAATGATTTCAAAGGAGAAATAAGGTCACTTTATTTGTATTTATTCAATGTGACGTACTTCAACAACATATGAACATTTTCTAATATCCCGATAATATATTTAATGTGTAAAATAGAGCAAATAGGTGGAAAATAATTAGATATTAAATCAGTTACCGAACGATAGGAGCACCGTAAAGTACGATACGCATGTTTTTAATGCCTGAAAAAATTAAAAGACATCGATCATAAATAGTTACTTGCACTGTAGTAAAATAAATAGGTCAGTAGTACGTACTACTCCAAAATTCTGGATATTCATTTCGTATAAACCTCCTGCTGTCAATTTGCATGGCCTCTTAGATCTTATTTGCATAGTGTAAAGCATCTTTTGAGCATTTATCGGCATTCGGTACCACGATGAACAGTATCTGTCGTAAAATTAATGTAAATATTACATCGAGTCGATGATTTATGAAATACCTGGGATATATTTTTCAGCGTACAAATCAGTGAATAATTCTGAACTTTGATCTATGATAACCTGCCCAGGTAGTGTTATAATCAGCAAATGGAATTGCTGTCCTACAAGGTAGATACCCATTCTGAAGGCTTCTTCAGGTCGATCCAGATTCATAACGGTCTGGCAAAAAATTTTAATACACTTAATGCGCGAATTCTTCTTTTATTTTGAAGACAATTCTTACTTGTACAGCTGTTACAGATATGCCGATTATATTCAACAAAACTTGGAGAAAGTAACTGTTACGACTGCAGTCATCCATGATTTCGAAAAACCTGCGAGTATAGTAGAAAAGCAAGTTATCCGAAATCTTTATATATCTTTTATTCCTTATAGTTGATTAGCATTTCATTTTTACTAACTGTAAGGCTTTGTTATGCATAATCACACATTGTTTGATTTGTTCCATCAGAGTTCCATCTAATCCTTCGTTAATACTTTCTGTTACTTTTACAATCCGGTACCTAGATTATTGATATGTCATTTCGATAAACGGAATACATTCCTGTTTATATTAATGTGATAAATTTATATCGCAGTTGAATATATATATTTGTTTATATTAAAGCAAGACGAGTTAATTTGATGTTATCGCGTTATCTGTGAAGTTCTCTGATATTAGTATTTGTTATTACACTCACCCACATATGGCGAACAAAGCAGAGGCATGATAGAAGATGAGCGTGTATAACGCATCTAGAGTGGATGTAATTATTATGATTACGAACGTGCACCAAGCCGAATGAATATATATAGGATAAAAGTACTGGTCTTCGTCTACAAAATAGTACGCTTTAAATAGTTGTTGTCGTGGTCGTGTTTCATTCAGTGGTATAATAATATCCAAAACCACAGGACATAACGGAAGGCATAAGAATAGCATCAGAAATATCAATAAAACTGCTGAAAATGATATTAATAATTTGCCATCAATTTAAAAACTGTTGAATACCAAATTTCTATAGGGGAAGATAAGATAAAACTGGGTACAGTGTTAGTTCTATCATTTTCAATACGCAGATTGTCGTACAGATCATTAGAATGTTAATTATTAAATTAAGTAAATTATTGAATAATTAAAATTGCATTACTTGAAATTCATATATTTGTAAAAGAAGCTTCCATAAATTAATATGAAGTAAAACATAAATTAAAATAAACTTGTAAAATATGTCTTTAAATAGCTAAAATAAATTGAATCGATTAAATAAATAACTAACGGGTTAATGTATATCAAGATTTCTTTAAATTTCATTAAAATAACTTATTTAAACTGAATTCTAGTAATGGAAATAAAATTTGTATTATGTTCCTAAATTTTATATTTATCTCTATTCTTGTGATAAAATTAAAAATTCTTTTTGATCGTTAAAGTTTTTGTTAACAAAAGAATTATATTAGGTACCCGGTCTCACCTTACTTTTTCTTACAAGAACACCGTTTCGGCATAGAAAATTATAAAATAATAAGCAACGACAGTTACTTCTATACAATCCACCCAAGGTATTTCCTTCCTTAGTAATTTCATCGAGTATAGTCGTATGTTTCTCATCCTTTGGTAAGTCCCACTCTTCCTTCATAAGAACGAGTAATCTATTGATCTAAAAAATAGTTGTATTCTATAATTTTCATTCCCACCCATACATATTTTGTACATTTAGTAGATAAATACATTTTTCTTGTGGATTCTATGATTTATTAATTTTATAGCGCAAGCTATCAATGTAATTATTATAGGTATGCTTTCCATCGTTGCATCCACATCCTCCTTTAATATTGACACGTAAGTTTGCGAAATCTATCGTGTAAAAAGTTTTGATATGTGTTTATGCGTACACATTTTGAATATGCTTGACCCACATGGAAAGTTTCACTTACCCCTGGAATTATGAAAGTTATTATACTAGTCACCAATACGAATACGATAAATTCTGCGTTCCATCGTGATTGACTCGGATATTGCCCCAAGAATAATAAGTATTTTGTATATGCTTGGTAATAAGAAAAATCAAACAGAGTATCTCCGTCACTTTTATTATTCTGAAACACTAAACGGCACATATAGCATACATAAAATTTCTATAAGTAAAATTAAATAACGAAACATTTGTCCTCCGCAACGATATTGTTTCTATAACTTTTAAACCAAAAGTCAATCATATTTTATTGTTATTGCTGTAATCTTGCTATATATCAATAAGAAGATAGCAGCAACAAATTCATTTTTATCGTGACTAAAGTTTATTTTACGTTGACGGTTATGGACATTTTGTTAGAAAATAAAATATAATCGAATTGTTTGAGTTTTTGTACTATTAATTATCCTTTATTTTCTTTTTATTTCAGTTGTGGTGAAAATTTTAATTAACACAAAGTGTATAATCATAAATGTTTGCACAGTACTAATCTACTAAAAATAAATTGCTAAAAGTCCCTCTTTATAAACGTAAAGTGAATATGCTATAATATTTTAAAATATGTATCTGTTTTTAACGAGAAATGGTCGTCATGTGGAATGACACAGTAAGTACAATATAACCCGTGTCTGTTGCTTTTCTCGATAATAGCTGCTATGTAACTTGAACATGTACATGGCTATTATAGCCGGTTTTCGTGCCATATCATTATTGAAAAATTACAGTGTAGATTGACATACAGATATTATTGAGACCTTACTCTGAATTATCACGGGACATGTGACACGAGATTTAGTAACTGAAAGAAGTCTATTAATGAATATTAGAATCAATAATCAATCCCTTAGGATTACGTGCTTATAGTCGTAAAAGAATTATATAGGAATAGTGCATTTGAAACTTTGAAAGTGAAAGGGAAGTTTGATGTACGTATTCGATTCTATATACCGATTTCATTGTTTAACAAAACAATACGTTACTTATTTATATTTCTCAATGATCGTCAATATCTTAAAAGTAATAATCTTTATTAAGTCAATAAATGTATAAATAATAAATATTTTTGATTCAAACTGTGTGAAAGGCAAATATTAACATATTAAATACTTGTTTCTATACAGTTGCGCAAACTTACTCTAAACAGTAATTTCTTCCATTATATATAATTTATTATAGAACATCAATTTTTCTCACTTTTAATTAATTTCGCTCACAAGATCAAGCAACTTTTAAACTATAACATAATACGTATTCCATCATCTTTTGTGTACAAAGTAAGTTTGAAATAAGTTTTTCGTTTATATAATATGAAACTACACTTTCTCGACTGCATTGTATATTTAATAGTTTAGTCTATCATTATATAATAAATTATACAATAGGGTATATATGATAATATGTATAAAATCAATGATGTACAATATTTTTGGTAATATTGATCGCAATAGTAGTAATAACAAAGAAAAAATAAAGTGTACATAATCATTTAATTTCTCTTTATTTAATGTGCCGTACTTTAACAATATATAAACATTTTTTAATATCTTGACAATACCTTTTATTTCGAAAGTAGAGTAAAGAAGTTGAAATTAGTTCGATATTGAATTAGTCACTTAATGACAGGAGCACCGTAAAGTACGACACGCATGTTTTCAATGCCTTATAAAATTAAAACACAACGTTAATAAATAGTTACTTGCATTGTAATACAGTAATTAGAATAGTAGTGCGTACCACACCAAATTTCTCGATATTCATTTCGTATAATCCTCCTGCTGTCAATTTGCATTGCCTCCTAGATCGTATTTGTATAGTGTAAAGCGTCTTTTGAATACTTATCGGCATCCGGTACCATGATGAACAGTATCTGTCATAAAATTAATACAAATATTATATGTAATATTCGTATATTCATCAAATTATGAGTAGATAATTCGTGAAGTTCTAGAAATATATTTTTCAACATACATATCAGTGAATAATTCTGAACTTTGATCCGCGATCACCTGCCCAGGTAGCGTTATTATAAGTAAGTGAAATTGTTGAGCAACAAGAAATAAAGCAATTCTCAAAGCCTCTTCAGGTCGATGTATGTACATAACCATCTGGAAAAGATATTTTAATATACTTAATGCACGACGTATTCCAGTCTTCTTTTCTTATTTTCGAGATAATTTTTACTTGTACAGCTGTTACAGATATGCCGATTACATTCAATAAAATTTGGAGAAAATAACTGTTACAACTGCAGTCATCCATAATTTCGAAAAACCTGTGAGTATAGTAGAAAAGCACGTTATCTGAAATCTTTATATATCTTTTATTCCTTATAGTTGATTAGCATTTCATTTTTACTAACTGTAAGGCTTTGTTATGCATAATCACACATTGTTTGATTTGTTCCATCAGAGTTCCATCTAATCCTTCGTTAATACTTTCTGTTACTTTTACAATCCGGTACCTAGATTATTGATATGTCATTTCGATAAACGGAATACATTCCTGTTTATATTAATGTGATAAATAATGTGTTTATATTAAAGCAAGACGAGTTAATTTGATGTTATCGCGTTATTTGTGAAATTCTCTGATATTAGTATTTGTTATTACACTCACCCACATATGGCGAACAAAGCAGAGGCATGATAGAAGATGAGCATGTATAAGGAATCTATAGTAACGATAATTGTCACGATTACGAACGAGCACCAAGCCGAATGAAAATATATAGGATAAAAGTATTGGTCTTCGTCTATAAAATAATGCATTTTAAATAGTTGTTGTCGTGGACGTGTTTCATTCAGTGGTATAATAATGTCCAAAACCAAAGGAAACAACGGAAGGAATAAAAATATTAGCATGAACGTGAACAAAATAGCTGAAATTAATATTAGTAACTTTTTATCAAACTAAAAATTGTTAGAAATTCCTATAAGGGAGGGTAGTGAGACTCAGGTATCATCGTTTTTCTATAAGTTTCACGATATACAGTGCCCTCGTCATGTTGGATTCGAATTGATTTTTTAATAACGTAACAAACCATAATAAAAGTTCATCAATACACAGCTAAATCTAAAGCTGACTGAATTACCACAGAATATCAGAAATCGTTTCATAGAATAAGAACACTATTAAATATTATACGCAATAGCTGTGAAAGAAAGAAGGAAAAGTAATTGAGTGTTAAAAAGTAAAGATAAACATACATTTAATATTTCATGAATATTTGATTTTGTTAATATTTCGTATTGTTCAATGAATTTACAAAATCAAAATTTCTTTTTAACGTATCTTTTCACATTTTTCGAACTACGATATTCCTGCTAACAGGGAAAATATATTAAATACCTGGTTCTATCTTACCTTCCCTTAGAAGAACTCATTTTCGATATGGAAAATTTATATAAAAGTAAATAATGACAGTTACTTCTATATGATCCACCCAAGATATTTCCTTCCTTAGTAATTTCATCGAGTATAGTAGCATGATTCTTATGCTTTTCTAAGTGCCATTCTTCCTTTATAAGATCGAATAATCTGTCGAACTAAAAAATAGTTGTATTCTGTAATTCTCATTTCCATGATAAATATTTTAGAAGATTAATAAGTAAATACATTCTTCTTGTGAATTCTATGGTTTATTAATTTTACTGCGGATGTAGATAATGTGACCACTATAGGAATGCTTTCCATTGTTGCGTCCATATCCTTTTTAATTATCGACAGATAAATTTGTGAAAACTGTCGAATAAAAAGTTTTGATTACATAGTGAGATTATTTAATTGTATATATTGTATTGTATCATACATTGCTTACTATATTTTTATCGATTTCAGGTAATTAATTCTCATAATATTTGCTTAACAATATATACATTTTATCTTTTGTACATAGGTGACATTTTACTTACCCCTGGAATTAAATAAGATATTATACTGCCCACTAATGCAATTACATTCAATTCCATATTCCATCGCGATTGAGTCGAACATTGCCCCAAGAATAATAAATATTTTTTAAATGCTTTGTAATAAGGAATATCAAACAGCGTGGTTTCGGTTTTTCCATTATTCTGAAACACTAAACAGTACATATAACATGTATAAAGTTACCATAAATTAAATACATAATAAATCATTTGTCTTTCGCGACGACTATCACTTTTAAAACATTAAATCAAAAAAGTAATTTTATACAAATCGATAATAAGATTGCATCAACATATTTATTTTTATTGTAACTGAACTTTGTTATACGTCGATGGTTATAAACTTTATATTAGTAAACAAAGTATAATCGAATTGTTTCGTACTATTCTTTATACTTTGTTCTCTTTCTTTTCAGCTATGATGAAAATTACAATTAACAAGAAATATATAGTCATAAATGCTGGCACGATACCAATCCATTAAGAATTGCCATTCTTCAGTTGCTCTTTATAAACGTAAAGTGAATATGGTATTATAATATTCTAAAATATCTATTTTTAATGAAAAATGTGGTCTCTTTTCATCCAATTATGCGTGTAAGTGATCATTATGACATATGTTGTCATATCGTTATTAAAGAAAATTATGATGTAGATTGACATTCAAATATTACTGAGATCTTATTGCGAGTTATAACGGGACACGCGATATGACATGTTGCAATTGAAAAAAGTTTACTAATGAATATTTCAGACAGTAATCAATCTCTTGGAATTACGTGTCTATGGTCGTAAAAAAAATGTATAGAAATAGTGATATACCGACTTGATTGTTTAACAAAACAATACGTTACTTATTTATATATCGTTAACATCTTAAAAGTAATAATCTTTATTAAGTCAATAAATGTATAAATAATAAATATTTTTGAGTCAAAATTAAATTTATTTAAACAAACACTAGTGTGTTTTAATAATAATGTTATGAGAAAGAAATAATATTTTGACGTTTCTAAAATTTATTTTATAAAAGCCTCGATATTCTCTATATAGAAAATTAAAATATTTGCATTAAAGGAAAGACGTTTTGTATAAGGTATTTAAATATTCCCACAGTTTTTATTTTGCTTTACCTTCAAGAGATGTCACTGTAATATCACGTAACAACTGCAACTTTAGCGCGATGCGAGTTACTTATCCAGTATCGAACTCTGCATCGCAAGTTACGGTTATAAACGTACTCGGGGTTTGTTATTCGTTTGCTTGGTGTGTTGTATGTGTTTATATTGTTTTTTTGTGTAAAAACTACTAAATTTTCATAATGAGTGCCGAGGAAGAAGTGTTGCGGATTCAGAAAAAATTAAACAAGATGTCGAGCGGTGACGGGACGGTGAGTAAGTGAGTAAAATATAGTTGTGTACCCCGCTCGGCATATTGGAGGCTGTTCATTAAGAACAAAGCTCTTTTCCAATATAAAGTATGATTACTGTAATATGTTGTAAATATACAATAGAAATGAATATGTTTTGAATTAAATTTTTTGTTCATTTTAAGTAAATATCTATTGGTATAAATTTTTATATACACGATATTTCACATTAAATAAAGTATTACCACGTATTGTAGCGCTTTAATATCTAGAACACTAATTTTAATACGTTCATAAAACTTTATGAAAATTAGATCACATTCTCATTGTGTAACTTATTAAATTATGAGTTGTAAATTTTTCTGCCCACATAAACATATTCAATCCATCATTAAAATCTGTAATTACATTAATTCATTATTTACCCATAGAGATGAAGTAAGTAATTGTTGCTTAAAAATATTACTTGTCACTTATAAAAATTGTATCCTTAAATATTAGCTGTGTATATTTTGATGATTGCGATACATAATAACAATGTATTCAATTACATAAGAAATAGCAATATGACAAAATGAAGTAGTTATTTTGAGTTTAAATTAATTTTGCTAATTTGAAGATTCAATAAATGGTGTAAATATTATATTTAGAATTTATATGAAACAAAAATATGAACAAGTCATATGTATTTCATATTTATATTAAATAAGAATGTGATCTTTACAGGGGCAAGAACAAGCTCTGGAATTACTTAAAATATTACAAAAGTTGCCCGTGGACTTAGAACTCTTGACTAAGACACGTATTGGAATGACAGTGAATGCCTTGAGGAAATCAAGCAGAGATGAAGAAGTTATATCGTTATCCAAAACTCTCATTAAAAATTGGAAAAAATTCTTATCTGGTAAGATATTAAATTTACAAAAGAGAATCTTTTAATAGATAATTATGTAAATAATAATATCGCATTTCCTTTTATAGGTTCCAATAAAGAAAAAGATTCTACTTCTTCGAGTAGTTCAAAAAAAAAGGATGATAAGACAGAGAAAAACAAAGATGATGGAGATCAAAAAAAAGACAAGGATAATGTAGATGCAAGCGATGTCAAAATGAAAGAAGATAAACCTCATAAAGATATTCAAAGAAAACAATCAACATTTCCAGCTCCTACCACTACAGATGCCGTAAGGCTCAAATGTAGAGAGCTTTTGGCAGCTGCTTTGAGAGTTGATGGAAATACAATTGATGGCTGTGCTACACCAGAGGAATTAGCAGAAGAACTTGAGGAAGCAATTTATGCAGAATTTAAAAATACTGACCACAGATATAAAAATAGAGTAAGCTTATAATTCTATTATATTTTTGTACCTTATTATAAACATAAAATCTAATGGTGTATATTTAATTATTTAGGTGCGAAGCAGAGTCGCTAATTTACGCGATGCAAAAAATCCTAATCTTCGAACGAATTTTATTGCTGGTGCTATAACACCTGCTAGGCTTGCTGTTATGACTGCAGAGGAGATGGCAAGCGATGAAATAAAACAATTAAGAGAACAGTTTAAGAAAGAGGCAATCAATGATGCACAACTTGCTACAGTGCAGGGCACGAAAACTGATCTATTGAAATGTGGAAAGTGTAAGAAACGTAATTGCACTTACAATCAAGTGCAGACGCGCTCAGCTGATGAACCTATGACTACTTTTGTGTTATGCAATGAATGCGGAAACCGATGGAAGTTTTGCTAAATATTCTTACTGTCCACAGTTTTTTCTGATTGCAATGGAGAAAAAATGTATTTCGTTCAAGACTTACCTATTAATCATTATTATTAGAGTTAATGAAACTCACTGGAAATATATTGTGTAAAATTTATAACTCACAGACAACATCCGACGCTTAATGGTGTTTTTAATCTTTTCACAAGTCTAAAGTACTCAATTTTTATTCTATTGTATATACTGATGTCGTAATTTACTAGGTCTCAGCTTTATAGAACTTAAATTATATTGAAAAAAAAATTTATCAAATTAAATGAAGTAAATGATACTTTTTCCTATTTTAAGAACATTACTGTTAAAAACTCTAATATGCGAGTAACATTAAAATTAAAATGTTTCATTTTGCATTGTACGAGTTTACATAATACCTTATCTGTGAAAAATTCGAAATTGTGGGTACAGTTCTGAAATACATGTATGTAATTACAGTGTAGTATTTTTAGAACCCTTTTTGTTAATATAACAGTCACACTTTCATATTTAAAGAGCTATGTCATAGTTCTGTTTTTATTTGAATTACTACTCTATTTGATAATTAAAAAATTAACATAATTTAATAAGTTGAGTAACAATTGTACTCTAACATTTTCTTCTATCGATTTTACCATAAGCTTAATAGTTTTTGTGAATCACCGTTGGGGGCCGCCACTGTATTCTCTATTCTAGTAATTTAGATTTAACAGTTTACGAGACTTCAGCGCGTACGCTAATTTCTAACCTAATATCAATGTCATTTGTGCTACTGTACATTCATAGAGTATATACTTTCGAATGCTTTTCAAATCATTCATGATTTGTTAATAAGATCATTTAAAAGAAAAAATGAAGTTACGTGATTACGTTTGCGTTAAAAGATAACATACAAGTTTACAGTAAAATTCATCATAACGATGTAACGTTAAACGAAATCTTTTGAAGTTAACAGTAGGTTTAATGAATATGTACCATAAAATAAGCAACGATTTTTTAATATCTATACGTAATGTTTATATAATATACAACAATCTTTGACTTGTTTGCGAAATTTTATGACACAACGAAAAAAAATTCATTAAAGGATAAAATAGAAAGTGAATGATTCTCAATCGTCACTATGTGTGAAGACGCCCACATTAAAGAGCAATGGCAACTTTTACAAAGTCTTCGCTGTACTGTAGAAGGTTTATTAGTTGATGGTGTTTCAAATGTATGGGATGTTTATGGTGGTTTAAACCGTCTTCACAATGTAATGGAACAAATATTCAAACATGGCTGTCGAATTTTTAATCGAAATGTAAGATAATATTTTCTACTTTGTTTTCCTTCATTATTTTGTTTTTACCTTATACATGTTTTATTGTGTTATCATATTATTCCTTTGTTTGTAATTACACTTAATTGTATTTTGTTTCTCTTTATTGTTTTGTAAGATTGAATCTTTTTGTTGACACATATACTTATAACATATACTCTGTTATAATTGTTTATATTCATAGTAACATTAATGTTTTTTTGTTTCATTAAAGATATTTTATTGTTTATTCTTTTTATATTTAGAGCAATTTCATTGTATCAATGTACTTTTATTAGTTACATAAAAAATGTAATATTAATATTAGAAAAAAAAAAAATAAAAATTAAAATTCATCACAAGGGAGAACCAGATTGTTGGATCTTTATTCAAGGATTAAATTGGCTGCAGCCCTCTGTAGCATTGTCACCTGTTGTTTATGAAACAGAAGATTATCTTTCAAATTTACCAACTAGAATCATATCACATAAAGATATGTTATGGCTATATAAAAGGTAATTATAAGAACTACATTGTTAATTTAATTTACAATGTTTAATAATGAATTATTAACTTAACTTGATAATACAATATAATAATCATTTTAACGTAGTTTGGAAAGTCATTCTTTGTCACATAAGCTTTCATGGCTTTTGTCTGACAAAGAACATTTACTTTCTTGTTTTCATCCATGGGCATTTTTGTGTCAAGAGAACTTAGTTGAAGCTACATTGTTGTGTCTAAGAGCAGTTGAAAGAAATCAACCTATATTACTTACAGAAATTGATCCATCTTTGGTAAGTTGTTCAGAAAGGTTTTATGTCAATATTCATTGCTATGTGTTATATTTATGTAACTTTAGTTTAATTTTTTATTTAATATTTTTGTACTTAGTTTTTACCTTGTTGGATGTCACCTAAAACAAGTCCAAAGAGACATCGTCGATCTTCTTCATATCCAATCAACTTTCCAACTATAAATTTTAGTGTAGCAAGAGATAATGCTATACATATTGAAAAATGTCAATTAGAGTCATTAAAAATAGATTCAGATGATAAAATTATACAACATGGTGATGTTAGTTCAGATGAAAAAAATCAAGAAAAAACATCAGATTCTAAAAAAATGAATGATATACCTTTGAAAACTTGGAGTAGTCTTTCAGCATTGACTAAGCATTGTAAAAATTTAGAAAATAATGTTCCTATAGCTTCATCATATGTTATAGACAATAGTTCACATAAAAGTAATGATTCTCAAACATCTTCTGTTGAATTATCAAAAATAATTACTGTAGACTATGCTGAATTAAAATATTCAACATCAGTTGTTATAAATAATAAACTACTTGTAAAACCAAAAATTCCTATGAGAAAAATGAAAAGTAAAACTAAAATGAAGCAGGATCATGGTGTGAAGAAATCTAGTGAAGATTCTGATATATTAAGCAGTCAGGATATATCAACAAATACAGTAAAAGAATATCGCATTCCATCTTTTATACCAAACCAAACAAGTTCAGATACATGTAATAAAAATTCTACCGAAATTAATGTATCTCAGAAACCAACAAGAAAAACTTCCTTTTTACCAAGATCAGCACCTGAATTCACTAGTCCATGGAGTTTAGAAATTGAAGGGCAGAAAGACATTAGAACACCAAAGAAAAGTTTCATGGAAGATGGAGGGAGCAGTGTTCAACCTATGGCAATAGGATATTTTCCACGTCCTACAGAAGGTCAAAGTTTGACAAGCTTCCTAGCTTCTGCACAATTTTCTAGAGCAAATGCTGAATTGGATAGAGAAAACGCACATTTCAGTGTTTCTGAAGCTATGATAGCTGCCATTGAACAAGTAAAATGTAATAGGCAATGGCGTCTTATGGAAGAAGCAATTGAAGAAAGCGATGAAGAAATAAATAGCTTAAAACAAAGAATACGATTAAGGCGCCGTCAACGACAAGAAGAACGGTACAAAGAAAGGACGTGGAATCGTGAGCTATTGAGTGATTACAAAACAGATACAACTACTGATCAAAGTGTTAGTCCATTATCAACTTCCTCTGAAACTACATCGGAAAATATATCCACAGATGGTATAGAGGATTTAGAAGTAGATGACGAGCAAAATGCAGTAAAACTTAAGAATGCCGGAATTTCTATATCTATGGCATCTTTATATTCAGATGAAGATTTGTTTCAATCATCTGCATATGCTACTAAAAGTAGTAGCATGTCCGCAGAGGGAGTAGCTTTATCGCTTCTTAGCAAATTTAGTGAGAAACAACTACCCAGAGCAAGTGAATTACAATGGTTGGTCTCTGAAAAGGATGCACCGCAAACATTATTACCACTACCAAAAAATTGGCCAATTAGTTCAGATGATTCAGAAAATTCGCAGTCAATTTTATTGCGTGGAACTACAGAATGGGCTCCACCAAGACCTCAAATTATTTTTACACCACATCCTCCACCAATGTAAGTTTATATGTTTAAAAGATGTATATTTTATGCATGGTACATGCGTGTATGCATTATATAGATGTATATATAATTTAATTGTCAATTTAATAATCAATTAAATGTGATATTCCTTATATATAGGCGGCGAACTCTTATAGCTAAACAGAATTACAGGTGTGCAGGATGTGGAGTAAAAGTTGCAATAAAATATGCAAATAAATTTCGTTATTGTGAGTATTTAGGTAGATATTTCTGTACTGGGTGTCATACTAATCAAGTGGCATTCATACCTGGAAAAATTTTATTTAAATGGGATTTTAATAGGTATAAAATTTAATGAGATCATACATATAATGTATAAAATAACATTATTCATTTATTCTTCTTTTATTTAGGTATTCTGTATCAAACTTTTCATATAGACTATTAGATCAAATGACATCAGATCCATTATTTCAAATAAATGACTTAAATCCATCGTTATATAGACGAATAAAACAATTAACTAGGACAAGGCTATTACGTACACAACTATGTTTCTTTAAAGATTTTCTATTTACTTGCCGATTTGCGATAAGGTATAAATTTAATTTTTTTTTTTTTTTTTAATTGTACAAAACACTATTTTGAAATTTATTATCTTCATTAGTATTCAGGGTGTATTGGAAAAGGAACCAAACTACATAATAAGTGAACCTCACGTATATTCCATTCAAGATCTGATGCATGTTAAGTATGGTATTTTACCAATGAGATTACAAGAACTAGTTGAAATGTGTAATATGCATATAATGGGCTGTGAGGTAATATTATAGTAAATATTTATATTTTGAATAAAAACTAATTTATATTAAATATTTATGTTATTAATAGAAACTTATTTTGATTTTAGTTATGCCAAGCTAAGGGATTTATATGCGAATTATGTTATTCTGAAGATGTCATATTTCCGTGGGAACTTTCAAAAGTTAGTAGATGTGAAATGTGCGGTGCATGTTTTCATAAAAAATGTAAGCAGAATTTTAGTAAAGCAGATTGTCGGCGCTGTATTCGCTTACATAATAGACGAATATCTAGAGAAGTACAATTTTGACACACGGTAATGTGGTCTTATGTCATATCTTTGCCTATGAGTATTGAATTTATAATTGAAACTTTATTAAACATTTACAAAATAATTATTTGTAAAAACCAGATGTTTCTAAATTGTACTTTAATTTTTATTTATCATATTTAGTATAAAATAGAAACTACCAATTAATAAGTAAATTCATTAGAGATCTGTATTATGTTGTTAATTATATGTTAAAGCACAGATTATATATTAATATAAAAAATTTAATATATTTATAAATTTTGCGAGTTGAAATATTCAATTATTTAAAACTTTTTAAATCTAGCATTTTATAAAGGAATTTATTTAACGCAATTGTATGTGAATTACAAACGTAGTAAAGACTGAGAAAATGTGATATTTAAAATAATTGTAACTTTATTTTTAAAATATTTCCTATTTATTTTTTCGTTTACACTACGTAATTATTTATTTAGTATTACGTATACTGTTACCAGAGGAAACGATAATAGTTGTAATTTGTTATAATTTGTTTACGAATTTTTAATCTAAGCTATGTAAATTATTTCAATGTTAAAATGTAGTGTAAATATTATTATGTATTTGAAAAATGAATTGTCCTAAGTATTTATATTTTGCTTTTATTTTTTTTAACTATAAATATTAATTTGATAGACGTTTAATATAATTAAAAAAGGAACAAATTATTGCATGTTATAAATATTGATTGTAAAATGGCAATAACACTTTATGTACAATGATTTATAAAAATATTATCTTTATAGCTATAAAAAAAAAAGTCATAAATGCTGTACCTGATTCTCGTCATGATTGAAAGTATGCATTGTTTATTAATGAAAAATTGTTAATACGGTCGAAGTTTATAATAAAATATCAAAAAACTAATGTTTTATGTTTTGTAATTGTTTGTATTATATATTTTGGGCGTGTTAAATTGTATTACAGAAAAATACGAAAAATTAAAAATCATTATTTGATTTTATTAAATTATATCTCGTTTACAATGATCCACATACACACATCTTACAAAATAATAGGTAATAGTACATTCATTGCAGATACAAAAATATAATGATATTATGTACACCACCTAATTTTAATAAGTTTAGAACTGTATAGTTTTCCTACATGGTAAATTTTCATTATAAAGAAATCACTTTAAATTTGACCTAATAGCTGTTAAAAATATGTACACATCGATAACTGTGATCAGTATGTACAATAACCTCTTGGTTTAATATATAACACGCTAAGAAAAAATCTAAATACTTTCTAATGTTAAGTATATAACATGCATAAATATTGTTTATGAGAAAATTTTGATGTGTTTGATTGTACCAAAGTTTTGAATACATTTATATCACAGGTGGTATTTTGTAAAAAAGAATATGCCACGTGTATTCACAGGCACAGTTATAATAACTATGAGATGAGTACATTCAAAAAAAAAAAAGATTTCTATGTTATGCTCGAATTATGTACGCAATTAATTAAAATAATGAAAACAATTTCATGTAAAATGACAAATAATGAGAAATTACTTCCTCTAAAAATTACGAATATTTATATATATATTTAAATTTATTAACTTCGTGCAATTTATCGATATAAAATATTTTAGTTCTTTTCATTCGTAGAAAAAAGGAAATAATCTCTATTTTTTATATTTTTAACTTTATACTGTGTGATGAATAAAAACATATCATATTTGTCGGTATTTTATGTAGCTATTCTTAGGAGCATACAATTTATCATCAGTCTATAAAATGCAACAACGCATAACAATACGCCACACCTCCCATACGGCTTATTAAAATATACATGCCGTATAATTTTCTATGTATTAAATATTTGTATATATGTACCAATTGAATCTATGGTAATGAATCGTATAATAATACTATATATGATAGAAAAAAAAAAAGTAAAAGATTCATTTCAACCTTTACATGCATAAAAATGGTTTTGAAAATATTAATTTTTTAATCAGAATTTTTACGGAGTATAAAAGAGTGGCGATAAAATAAATTTCTCAACAAATAAAAAAAAGAAAAAATTAACTTACAAATACTGAGATTGTAGAATAATATAGAAATTACTAATGTTGTATAAATAACTAAAAAAGAAAAAAAAAAAAATTGAAAAATTACGGTATTTATCGACCCTTTTGGATATATATTAAATTCAAACTGAGCTCACAGTCATTTGATTTTCTGTAGTGTATGAATAATTAACAATTTGAAAATTTTCTTATTACGATTTCGTTATTACACAAATTAACAGTCATCTTAATTTATAAGTTAATGCTCAATGATCTTAAATTCTTCATAAATTTAATTTCAGGTTACCTAGTAATAATTAAGCAATCCTATGTATTATTGCCAACTATATTTCTTTACTTACACTATCTATATATTTAATGTATCTTTTAATGGCAGCTTTGCTACTTCAAAAAATATCCTAGAAGAAAAAGTATTTGAAAGTTTTAATGTTATCTTAAACATTACTTAGTTTTTTCTAAGTAAATATTAATCAATATATTTATATACTTACTTGTGACTATACTTATTACGTACTGTAGTGAGAGCTTCTTTATGTTTTCGATGTAACCCTTGATTTAAAAGATTCACGATATCTAGTATGTCATCAACTTTATAACCACTATAATATTCTAAAGTTGGAGTCCAACTTCCTAGATCTTTCATTTGCATTGCAAGTAATAGTGCAGCCGCGGCCATTTTACTGTCGCTGAACATTATTGTCGCATAATCCATCAATGAAAATTCCAAAATATATCGAGCTAAAGTTAATGTTGGCATTGACACTTTTGCACACTGTTTATGAATAATATAATTATTATAATATATTGCAGTATGGTACAAATATAGGAATATTTACGAAGGAAAGTTATCAACATAACTCACTCTGGCGTATCGTCTAAGAAATCGATAAGAAAGAGGTATACCAAGATCAAAATCAATAACTTTTAATATACTCATTTCCATTCTAATTAATTCTCTTTGCGTGTAAGCACCGTCACATATATACAAAAAATCTTCTACCATTGGAGGTATTCTTTCCTAAAAACATCACAGCATGTAAAGATCAATTGAACAATAAAGAAACGACCTTATGTAAAGATTAATGACTTAATTTCTTATTCATTTTTCTTATTCAAAAATTGTAAATTTAATTTCGATACTAACATCATATTTGCTTGATATGAAAAGACTTGCAGCGCCTAACAATTGTAATGTTTCTTTTCCAACAGTTACTTTTGTTAAATATAGATCAACTAATTTCACAGCTAGATATAAAGTTTCATGATTCAGTTCAAAAGATTCTTGAACTTCTACCATCCAATCAACTAATAAGGCTCTCATCCATCGTGAAAGGCACACTTGTCTTTCCATATAATCTCCAATAGGAAATAAATGTTCTCTATCTTTTAAGTAATTGAAAATATCCATGGCATAGTGTGAAACTTGAAATGGATCCAACCAATTTTCTGCATCAAAATCCCATTGAACTCCTTCAGGTAATATTCTCTCAGGTGGAGCATCTAACTGAGCTGCTACTGTTTTTTCTTGAGTTTCTCTAGGTACTTTAAGTTCACTTGATTTATCTATTTTTTCTGTTTTTTCATTTTCTTCAGACTATTCAAACATTTTATAAAATATTTAATAATTTCATAAGATTATAAACATAGCAAATATAATGTAATATAAAAAATGACTCACCTGAATATTGCTTTTCCTGGACTTCTTTGTACTGTCATCCCCTACTTCTTCTAATGCACTTACATACAAAGAACTGTCCTCTGACTTTTCTAAATCTAAACTACGTCTAACATTTAAAATTTTACTAGGTAATTCAGTTTTCTCGTCATCCTTTTTTATTGATTTCACACGAGGCACTGGCTTTGGTTTTTGAGGTACTACCTCTGGCTTGGTCACAATTTTTTCAAGCGTTCTAATAGAACTTGTCTGCGCAAAAGGTTTTACTTGAGTAACAAATGTCTTTTTAACTGTTTTCTTTGGTTCTTGTGTTTGATGTGTTCCCAATGTTTTTCCAATTGCCTGTTATTTTATACAGAAAAAAAAATTAATATTTTGTAAGATTTTTATTAAAGAAAATTAAAAGGAGAAAAAGGGAAGTTAAAATAACATACATTAGTGATATTTCCTAATGCATATCTTTTTGTTGTTTTTTCCTTTGATGGCGATGCTTCTGCTTTCCTTTTTATACGAGGATCTTTACTAGGAACAGATGCCTTGAGTAAAGTATTATTTACTGCAGAATTTTGACTTCTTGTAGTTATTCTCTTTCTTGTGTTTGTTGCATTACTACCACCTTGTTTATTTTGCACATTTAAAACTTTTGATGGTGCCATTCTTATAAATCCTTGAAATTAAAAAATTCGTTTTTTCGCTATGTAAGGAAAAATTATTAGTTAATCAGATTTAAGCTGTTATTTTATATTACAAGTAATACAGTAAAAATTATTGAAATAATTGTTTATTAGAAAATATTTAACTATTAGAAATAAAATTAAATAATATTACATTTTGATGACTGAATATTTTAATTAAAAATTAGAATTTGGTCAACTTACCGAAGTTTTACACATCGACCATTCTGCATGATTTTTAAACATGTTAAAAAGTACGATATTTCAAGCAACTTTTTCTTTTACACGAAAACTAGGGCAGACCTAGTTTTCGTGATATCAAGGAACACAGAGCAATTTGTTACAACACATTACAGTTTAGGTTAAATGAATAATAAGGTAAACAATTGCCGAGCAATATATAAACAAAGTCTAAACAATTGCCGAGCGATAAGTAAATAAAGCGGATGCCATGTCTACTACGTTTGTGTATGTACTTACTCACGTGTACGTATAGCCAAACTGCGATGTATTGTACTAATATATTTTCCTCGATATCTCGGAAATTAACCAGATTTTTTCGTGTAAAAGAAAATATTGCTTAAAATATTGTTGTTTTTAAGATACTTAAAAATTATGCAAATCGATTGCTGTGTAAAATTTCGACAAGTTCACATAGAATTTTTCTCAACAATGGAGAGATGCGTTACAATATGTTGAGATAACGTTCAGAATTTATCTAAAATTATGCCATGTTATTATATAAATATAGCTATATAAAATAACATTTCAATATCAATAAATTTAAAAAAATAAAAATATAATATTTTGTAATAAAATACACGATTTTATTAAGAATATATTGTACATAAGGGAGGTAACACTTTAGATTCGATAATTCAATAAATTCACTCGTTTATAACCTCACAAGGGTAACTTTATAATACTTAATTCAATACTTAATCAATTTGTTTAAAAATTGAAGACACTTTCTGTGATAAATCGAAAGATTTCTCTACATTCTTTGTACATGGATTTTGATAGTTAACTTAAGTCATAAAACGATGCATTCACGACGAAAAAAAACGCGGGAACATAAATAAAGAATTTGTGATTAAATAAAATACAAAGATAGGAGTTTCAATATTGTTCGAAACTATCGATGCTATCTCTGAAAATAATATCAATGAAAAAAGAAAATAATAAAATAAAGCGATAAATTCAAGTGATAAATTCATCATGACTGCCATAAAGACACGATTGCCAAAACGAACTAAAACTTTATTAATTTACACTGCAAAAAAATCAAATTTGCATAGGTCATTTTTTTATGATAAATGGATTATTTTAATTTACCTGTAGGTATGAATTATGACTTGATGTGCTCCGGTTCAATGATATTTTTCATTTATAAAATTCTTGTGCTACTAATACGTTGCTGTGGTGCCCATTTGTCTCATCAGAGCAACTGAAGTTGACGCTGTTCAAAATATCACAGTAACTGTTAATGCTTTTTCTGATTGGTCTGCTTCAATTTGTGACAACCAATCAGAGACGTAGAAGTAATTCTGAACGCCGCCTATCGACAGAATATATAGTTGAATACTGCTTCGTTTGTCCCAAACACTATTGGTTTTTTTCTATTTTATATAATTAATGACTTGTATTATACTTCAACAATGAAAGTGTGATTTAAAATAATTCAATATAAGGTATGCTCTATTTACAGGTTACATATTACCGAAGTACAATAATTTAACCTACTTAATTTATGGTTAGATGAAACATTGCATTTTACATGTATGAAAATTTATATGTTATAATGAATAAACATATGCAAGACACTTGTGAGTAATTTTCTGTTATTCACACTACTATATTTATACTGCAAACAATCGATTTCACGTATATAGCATGGATACGATATTTTTAATAAACAATTAATCTTTGACCTGTATTTAGTTGTTCACGTTAAAGTGACACACTCAACTAGAAACATGGGTTGATTGTACAATCGTAAAAGTATAGTCAAAAGTATTTCGTTTTTTTTTTTTTGGTATTTGGTAACCTAACTAATCATGATCTTTGTTTAGATATTGTGAAAACTTATTACATACCAAGTATTTATCATATATTTTTTCATATGTGTGCCTCTTTGTCTACCGTGCTCTGGATTTCGTACAGCTTTATTGGTTTGTGATTTTATGGACAACTGAGAATGCAAAGTGAACGTTTTGTAGTTAAATACGTAACAGTAAACAATTGTTTTGCTTATTTACCGGACACCTGGCTACGTAAATCGGAAACTAAGGTTGGTATTTTATTCTCTTAATTATCTAGAGAACGTATGTATCGAAAAACATATATTATACATATAGCAATAGATAGAAAATCTTATACACCAATTGGAATTCCACGAGTTGATTTTGGGTGTAATGATATATTTTCTCGCTAGATGTCGAGATTAATTTTGTCTTTAATTAAAAAAAAGTCTCTTTCTTGAAAGCATTTCAGTGATTGTGATTTGTTGATTAGCGATAATAGTTTCGAATATTGTCACTTTATTTCAAATAATAATTTAAACATCCATATTAATAATATTTCTATTACCACCTTATGATAAAGGAGGAAAATGTAAATTGTCGGTAACTAGTTAACCGTACATTTATCTTAGTTCGATAAAACAAATTTCTGTAATTCTAACTTTATCGATACATAAGCTTCCTTTTTTTTTTTAAATAATTGTGTAGAAATTCCATATTACGAATTGCAGGAGAATGTAATTAAAATAGCACATAAAGATAAAACGTATTACATGTCCTGTAATATAAGGCCGAATCTTAATGAAATATTGTGTCTTGGTACGACTTTTGCAAGAAGCTTAAAAATCAAAGAAGATGACGAAGTATTTGTATCTTTTCTGAAGGATGTTCCACTTTTAACAAAAATTTATGTTGCACCTCTAACTGCCAATGATCGAGAAATTTTGGTGGGTCAAAGGAAATTATTTGCAATTAAAATAACGTTTCTGTTTTTCTTTTCTTTTCGCGCATTCAACTTTGTATAATAAAATTCCAATGTCCTTAGGAATTACAAATGGAGAAAGTGCAGTCGACATTGCTCAGTCAGATTCGAGTGGTAGCAGAGGGACAGCCGATTGTTGCATGGGTTTCACGACATTCTTGCATAACATTAATCGTAGGCAAGTATCAGGATTCGTTATACCTGCCGGTGATTATGTAAATGTTCCAAGTCACGTGTTTCGTTTCGAAATATCAGAAGTCTCAGGCTTCAAATATATCATAAATTTAAAAATTAATTACGACTAAGCTACAAATTCGATCGAACCGTTCAATTGTTTGTCACTTTGTCGAAAATAGCTTTACTTTCACTTGTATTCTCAGATCAAATTTTGATAGTTTTATTCTCGAATGAAATGACAATAGTTTTATTTTTAAGTAAAACTTTGATACTTTTGCTTCTACTTTGTTGCAAGCTACACGAATAAAATCGTCTTTTTTCAATTATTGATTTACATCACTTTCATGATTGCTGGTATTGTTTCCTTGATTATTTTATTAACCTCTTAGAATCCTTTCCTTTTCACAGAGTCGATGGAACCGATGGTTAAATGTGGCAAACTCGAACAATTTTCTGAGGTGCATGTGGCTAATACAATAGCAAACGTAAAAAGTAACAATTCAAACGAGGATTCCAAAGAGTCAGTCGGTATTACCAACAATTTACTCTCCATCCTCAAGAAGCTTTTATCAAAAAATGACCGATATTCGAATAAAACAGAAGCAGATGAAACAGTCAGAAATTATCAACTTTTACAAAGCTTTCGCAATAAGAATCTACCCATGATTTATCGCGTCCATCCAATGTCTCGAATGGCTGCAGTCGAACAGCTGCAAGGGAACATCTTTGATGAGATCGCGCGATGCCCTTATCACGTGTTCGTTTCGAGAAACCAGGCGCCAAAATTTCCTTTCGATTTCGCCGTTTGTCGTATAAAAAAGATTCCGGAAGATAAGCAGCAGAATCTAAATAGCACGAGTTTTCTCACCAACGACGAATCACCTGTCCCGAAGTTCTCTACGGAATTCAAAGTTAGAATGTTCATTTTGGATGATCTGTTGGAGAGGTCCTCTATCTTGGACAGGGACTATTTCAACGTTAATTTTCGTGATAAAAGCGTTTACGTATCGGAGAGCTTACGGATCGGTTTGAATTTAAGGATAGGTGGAAAAGTGAGCTTGGTGGTATTGGATAGTTCTGAGACGTCTGGTTCTGAAACGTCTGGACCGTCTTTCCTCGAGCTGTTTTCATGCAAGAACTCGGTGTCTGAGGAAGATTTCACGAATTACGTTAAAACACATTCCGTGTACAAAGAATTACTGATCAACTCTCGTGCCCCGATTGTTATGGATAATGGAAATTCTTGCGTGGTGAAAATTTCGCCGGAAGACTGCACGTTCGCCACGATCGACGAGGCTAACTTGAAGGATGTGAAGATATACATGAGATCGGTGAACGAGATAAGCCAACTTGAGGTACCTGAGCACTTGAATCGCAAATGTTCTCGTTTAGGAAAGATATCCAGAAGGTATATCGATTTATTTTTTTATCTTGGTTATTGTGTTTTTTATTCACGCTAGATAATGGATAAATTTTATAAAGCGTTTCGAAAACGGTATAACGAAGAGGCATAATTATCCTCATTGCTTTCCTATGTGAAGAAAAACATCTCGTATAATTTATGATATATTTTATTCGTGAATTTTGAGCTCGGAATTTTCTTGTTTCGTTATATTTCTTGTCCTTTCTTTTTTTGCGGTAACGTATCGTCTGTTCCAGGTATTTAAATAATGTGTTAGCTGAATGTCAACTCGCCTTAGATCTCAGTCTAAGTTTACACAGGCGACTACCTTTCGCATACGATCGCGAAAATATCATAATTTCTGGCGCGATTGGCTCTGGTAAAACGACCATCTGCAAAATGCTTATCGAATATTTGCAAAATCCGCCGTATTTCGTACACACTCGTATGATTAATTGTAGATCCTTGAAAGGTAGATTATTTATCAGATTTAATTCCTACGTTTGATCGTGATTTTCTAAAGAGAATTCGCGATCTTTCACCATATTTTGCCAAAGTATCGTTATATTTTCATAGGAAAGAAAGCTGAGATGTTGCAAAAAGTTATTACGACCGCTCTAGCCGAATGCATCTATTATCAGCCTTCGGTATTATTTCTGGATGACATAGAATCTATCACGAATGCGTCGATAAACGACGAGGAGAATACGCCAGATGCCATAAATGCTGCCAGGTATTTCCCTCCTCTCTGTTCTGTCTCCATAAAAAGGATAAAATTATGGAAATACATAGCAATTTCTTGCCATCAGGATCACGGATATGTTGGTTAATACAGTGACACAGTATCAAGAAGCTCACCAGGTATCAATAGTCGCCACGTGTGCGAGCATCAACGGTATAGGTCAGAGATTAAAGCCAGCTAGGGGTTGCCACTTTTTTAGGACAGTTTTATCTATCCCCAATTTGGAAAAGGTATTTGATTCCGTTGAACTTGTCATCGAATTTTAATTTTTTTACTACGAGGAACGTACACTTACCGAGAAGAGTTCGCGAATTTTTGTATATTCTTTAAATATCTTTCGAAATACGCGTGTTAAAAATAAAAGTAAGGCGAAGAGGTAACATAGATAATTAAATGCACCATGATTAAATGGCAGTATTAGGAAATACAGACATATCTTATACTTTGATATCGAAGAAGCTTGCTGGGTGAAAGTCGTGAACTGAAAATGGAACTAAAAGATTCGGTGGAGGATTAATTTGACTAGAAAGTCGAGATAAATAAATCAGATCGCGATCAGCGTTTCCATCCGTGATGTAATGCATCTTCTCTAATTAGGCGGATAGAATCGATATTTTGCAATTAATGCTCGGGGACAAGTTGTACGTGCTTGGAGATGTGAATTGGGATTACTATGGAAACAAGACCGAGGGATGGATGGTTCAGGATCTCGTGGATATGGCTGAGAAGGCTGCGTTCGCTGCTTGGAAGCGTCATGGTAATCAAAATTTACCATAACCACCTTCGTTTACGACGAATAAGGAATTAAAGTATTTAAATTAGTTTGAATTATATTAATACTTATAATTGAAATAGTTTTCTTTTATTAATGTTTAATATGCAATTATCGTAAAAATTTTTACGTAGCTCCAAAAATGAAATATCGAGTCATAGGATTTTTCACGTGGACACGATCTTTGTAATATTTCGTTTGAAACACGAACGATTGATTCGCAATTGTAAGGTAAATATTTGTAACGTTAATTTCTACGCTACAGGTACCTCTAAGCCTCCTATCATGGTCGCAGAAGAAGATATGGCGGTCGCTATGAAGAATTGTACGCCGATGTCTTTGCAAGGTGTACAATTGTACAAAGGCGCGGGTCATGTTTGGTCGGATATTGGTGGCCTCGGTGAAGTGAAAAGATCTCTCGTAGAGATTTTACAGTGGCCACTGAAATATCCCGAGATATTCAAGAATGCTCCTATCAAGCTGCAAAATGGCGTTTTATTGTACGGCATGCCGGGAACGGGGAAAACGATGCTCGCCAAAGCGATTGCTAACGAGTGCGGTGTTAATTTAATCAGCGTTAAGGTAATTTATATAAAGAGAAGTTATTTGAACTTCTGCCCCTGTTTTTATTCGACTTGGTAATTTAACTACCATATATGAATGTTTATTTTAGGGTCCAGAATTGTTGTCGAAATATATCGGTGTTAGCGAAGAGTCTGTCAGGAATGTGTTCGAAAGGTAAAACGAAAATAATTAAGTATAACATAATTTCGTATCTATGTGAATAAAAGATAATGTGAATTTTGTTGGTAAAAATTGTATGGCAATTGTAAAAGTAAAGTGCTCAAATTATTTTAACTCGTTCCAGTATTAAAATTACGCGTAATGAATATCGTACATATTATACACTTGAAATTGTAAAATTTGCAGGGCTCTTCGAGCAAAACCATGTGTTCTATTCTTCGACGAATTTGATAGTCTTGCTCCCAGGTAAATTCGTCATGATACGATAAAATAAAATTGCTTTACTCGTTTGTTTATGGATAATTTTTAGATGCTTATGCATATGTTTGTTGTAATTTATTTTAGACGTGGCCACGATAGCACTGGCGTCACCGATCGTGTGGTGAACCAATTGTTGACGCAAATGGACGGAGTTGAGGACAGGGAAGGTGTCGCGGTCGTAGCAGCGTCATCAAGGCCAGATTTATTGGACCCAGCTCTGCTGAGACCTGGACGTCTCGACAAAGTGTTGTATTGTCCACTTCCAGATGAGGCACGTAGCTCTTAGCTATATCTTTCTTCTTACACG